AAAGACATACTACTGATTTTTCTGCAACTTAATTATTTCATCCTTATCAATGTATGAAACTATAATGCGTAAAACGCCCTGTGAAATATGTTACAGTGATAAAAAATGATTAATTGTACTTGATCTGCTGTACATTTCATCGAACATTTTTGCTAATAATTTACACATCACCGACCACATAATCAATTTACATTCAGCCGACTGACAATATCCATAATTCACAACAACATGTACCACAACAACATCCATTATAACAAGTTTTTCCCTTTTACATACTCATTCATATCATGTCCGTATCGCAAAATACATATATCAGAAAGTTATAGTTTGATAACACCGATTTAAATGGCTATTCTGTGCTAAAATTGCACTTCATTTCCCTTTTCATATTTATAACCACATTATCTATCCATTATCTATTTGGCCAAACTTTTCACTTCTAATATTTATTGGTCTTACTGCATATTTATTACATAAATAAAATCTGTATTACTTAATTCAGTTACTGAGTTTTTTAAGTAGACTACATTGTTCATATTCTGATAGTTAATAGTATCACTCAAGACTTTTAAAGTACGGAATAAGAACGTATTAACGAACTTTCGGCACAAATGTATTACCAGTGTTTTGCACAATATATTTATGCAGAAATTCCGACAGTTAGTCTTTTTTGGTCATTAATATTTAATGACTTATATATTTCCAAAATACATACTGCCAAGATCTCTGTATAAATGTATTCACTTAAATATAAAATCATTTCGTTTCAAACTTCATGGCTTTGCATATCCTTTACCTGCAGAAAAAATTTCATTCTATTTATTTCTCCAGTGACAAGCTAGACATTCTATTTTTCTTCATTTCCATATTCAATGGTTCACTTCCTAGCAAAGTTACTATATTATGAGTTTTACTTTTGTACTAGGTTATTACTATTACGAAAGTTTCACATCAAAGGATAACTTTCCTTTCAGTTTTTATTACGATGTTACGTAAGCTATTAAAACACCATTATACATCAACTTCTGATGTTTTTTTTATCATTTATGTATAAGGTCTTTGAACGATCTCTTTTGTTCACATCATTATTTTTACCAATTCTTTTAGAATTAAAATTTTTGAAACAGTATGAGTTTCTGTGAATGAAAAGCTAATAACACCAGTAATAATCTAGTTCTCCTATTTTTATTATTATGTATGAAATTATATGTTCGTTTTCCGAACATATAATTTCAAACATCTCCCACTTTCTCTTCCTTTTTTCACAACATCACTCCATTTGATTAACTGCTTTTGTAACATACTGTATTGATTATTGCCACAATTGCATTGTCATTTCATTAAGACCCCTATCAGCGTTGCACAAAGTCAATTTTAGTTAATTTGCGCCGGGGGTGTTCTTTTTTTGGAATTCCATCTTTCCGGTTTATAGAGGCGAAGGTTGTAATTATGAATTAGCTGGCTGTGGTGTAGGATGGATTAGGACGACTGTCGAATAGAAGAGTGAGAATGTTGGACTTCCTCACTTTTGGTCTTAGATCATCAGACCTGCTTATTTTAAAGAATACTGATTGTTTTCTAGTGCTGTGTACTTTAGTTCCATACCAAATAAATTAAAATCTCACATGATTCCAGTTGATGGAGTCCTAGACAATAGTCGAATGTGAATTTTCCAAAGTATCTCAGTTTATCACTGACGTATCTAGTGAATTTCATATTGTTTGGCACTACATTGTTTACTGTTTATTTTCAATGAAACAGTAAGTGTTTATAATACAATTAATGCAGAGTTTTATTTTGTAGTTGGACTTTAATTAAATCCGGAACATACATAATATCCATTCAGCACTTATGAAAAGAGATTACTTATTATAAGTAAAATCCCTTGACTGCATTTAGCAATGAATGAAACTGTAGACGTAGATATACTGTACACGTACATTAATCTGCACAATTTTCTGAACTTTTTTCCTTATCTTTACTCGGCTGTATTGTAAGTTCAATCGGAGGTTTCACAGCATTTGTGGGATGACAGCGCTCCAGAAATCACTTAACCAACTTTTTTCTTTTCTTTTTTAATTTTATCGGTGTCGTTTAATGTCACAATGCACGTTGCACTTTTGCAATTCGATTTTTACAACTTCGAAATTTCTTTGGGCATTATTATTTGTTTGGTGCATCTCGATTGCTTCAGATATTCAAAATAACATTCTCGAAATAAAGTTGCAATAAGTGATGACAACGGTTGAAAGAGTAAATAATGCGGCATTAACATAGTGCTCAATAATTCTTATAAATCTTGCCAGTTGTTGTACTTGCAGGTTGTGCTATTTTTTACTAGTGAGATTGTTTAAGATTTTATTAACTGGTTTCAATTTAGAGGTGTTTTCAAATATTGCAATAGCGATCTGGTTATAGTCGAATGTCAAAACTAATTTTTTACTTTTGTTCGTAGCATGCTATAGTAATATTTGCCAGAGAAATTTAGTTAGCAGTTTTGATATTATCTGTAATTAGCTCTTATCATTTGAGGGTATCATGTAGTGCGTTTCCGTATATTCTAGGTATTGCAGATTCTCGGGACAAACTGTGTGGCCGAAACTTGCTAACTGTTTATATTTACACGTGCGGTATTACTTATTAACGATTTTGAACCTTTTAGCTGTTGGCGGGCTGCTACGATAACTGTAAAACTGGTAAACAATTCCCAGACTCCATGTTTTCGTTCACATGCAGATTACGTCAAATATCTTTGGCTGAAATGACTTCAGCTATCAGGTATCTAACATGTGTTGGGTGGGATGGAATAGAGGAGATTAACAGTTATTAAAAGTAAATGTTAACATATTACAGATGGTATGCTGCAGTAAAAGCTGCAGGATCTTATGGAAAGTTTGAGCGTCTTCCTCCAGGATTCGGTAAAATAACACCGTTCAGTTTATTCATCAAGGAAAACTTTGCATTAAGGAAAAATGAACAGCCTACAGAAGTTTTCAGTAACCTTACCAAGGAATGGAAAAATTTGGACGAGTTTGATAAAAGAGTTTGTTTTACATTTTTCTTCTAATTCTGAACTCGTGTCCATTCAAAAATTCTTAATCACTCTCTAGTTATTACTCTGAAACGACCTGTTGTTAGGTCAAAATTATACGGAAGGTATTTGTCAGTAATTGCTTGTGATACACTATCACATTAATTTGGTGAAATTTATTTACTCAAAGAAAATGCTACCATTTTGCATAAAAAATAGATTATATTCGAGTTAAAGTTACACATGCACAACATCCTCTTTTTAAACCAGTGTAGGTTACAGAAATATGTTAACGGAGCGTTACGAATAAACGAAGAAAAAAGGTCAAAATTCGAATTACTGGATGAAACTGAGAAAGAGGAGCTTCGCAGACGGGCTAAGAATTTGAAAGAAGCTCGCTTAAAACGAAAAATACGTTTGGAAAGGAGGAAAGTGCGTTCAAAAAACTTGTAGAAGTACAAGATTTTCGTAGTTTTCTTTATGAAAAACATGCGATATTCAAGTTAAAATTTATCGGAACAGTGTAGAAGTTCAATAGTTATGGTTTAATTGTAGAAGCGAGAAATTAATGGTCAGTCGTCAATGTCAGGCTGGATGCTTTTTGTAAAGGAGAAAGCTGTAAAAGGTGTTGCTGACAGTGGTAAAAAACAGCAAGATATCATCAAGGAATTAGCCATTGTCTGGAAGTCACTTCCCGAGTCTGATAAAGATGTAAATTTTTTGTAATTTTTCGGACATATAAATGGTATTTAATGGTCAAATGTTAGACAGTGCTAACTCATGACTGGTTTCAAAATCACATTGACTAAGTTGCAGGCATACAATAAACGAGCCAAAGCTCTTTCAAGAAATGGAGAAATATGTGAATGAATTTATGTGAATTTCCTAATATCTGTTCACCAGTAAGCTATAGTCTCGACTGATGTAGACAGTATATCATCCTAATCTTTGTTCATGTGTTATCCATTGTTATATGTGCAACTTATAGAATTTAGCTATATAGCTATCAGTTTTATTCACCTACTGGTGTGAAGAACCCACGTGGTCCAAACTTATTTATTACTCATCATTATAAGGTTCTCTCAGGATTCCACATTAATCTTTATATTAAAAGGCTTCATCTGTACCATTTCGGTTACTGTTAAACTGAAAGAACTTATAGATATGCTTTTTTTTTCTGTTGAAATATGGGAGATAAAGGAGTCGCATTCGAAATTATGAAGACAGTTGACATGAACAACTAGAATGGTGGTAGGGCAGAAAAATATGTGAATAAGGAATCTGTGGCAGTATGGCTCATCACAATTTTTTTTTTTTTTTTTCGGTTTTGTTTGGGAAATAAGCGCTATAAATGCAGTTGGTTATGCGTAGTGTATGGATCCATTCTATATTCAAAAATCTTTCGTAAGATCATAGAGGAAAGTTTCCTTTCTATTTAGCTGGTAGTGAACCTGTGAATACGTAATGCACGTGCATGTATCGTCTTGCGTTGCGTCGTGTGGATTTGAACTGCTTTTGCAAATTTGTTTCGTGGCCAGTCAAATGCTTTCAGAAACTGAATTATCGACTTCATATTTTTGAACTGTTGTGGTGCCTGTGGTGCCGTTATTTCTTGTGTTAGCATTTCTTTACTACAATATGATGATGTATAAACGGCATTGTTTTTTTATGTGTTCAGTAATTATACTGCAGTGTCATTGTCTACTTTATATTGAACGACTTCGGACCAAACTTAGAGATCTGTATATTCCACTTTTTTTCTTATTCGATTGTTCATCTTCACTTATAGCTTTTATTTGTATGGAGCTAGCTTTTCTTTCTCCAACTTGTATAGTTTTAAAGCCTTTAGCTTTGGTCTGTTATACTCATTTATTGGTCCAGAAGCAGCTTATGAATCTTTATTCTTGGTGAAATTCAAATATTTCAATTGCATCTTTCAAGGTGATCTAATTAGACTGTAGTTCATGAAATGTTAAAGTGCAGTGTTGTCCTATTAGTACTAGTTTTGGTCATGGTTTGTTGCGACGACAAGGAATTAGCCCGTTTGCAAATAGGAGTCAAGAAGCGTGTCGACAACTGCGAGATAAGATCAAGAAAGGGAGATACTCTGAACGTGCACTACGTGGTAAGTTTGCTTCTGTGAGGGGTTTTCCGGGTATGTTATGCTTAACGAAGTCTTTCTGCTGCAGTCTATCCAGTGATTCAGGGGATGTTAGAGGACGGTACCGAATTCGACAATAGTAGGTCTCGCAATAAGCCATTCATATTCACGCTCGGCATGGGACAAGTTATTAAGGTGAGTGCTTTACGACCACGCTCTTTATGAATCGTTTTGGCGCTTCATTGGGAAATCCCAATTAAAATACCAGCTCCCACTTGCACTAGATGACATCTTTCCATCATAAAGTTTTTTCCAACTTGTTTTTAGGTATTGTCAAGTTATATCCTCCAAAATTCTATTGTTTCGTATATTAGCATGTGTGGACATTTTCAATGAATGTCTTTGCTGTCTGAAATGCGAATACTAAATCTATGGGGCATGAATGTGCTGGAGTAGAAATCTGAGAAGTTTGAGCATTACAGAAAATGAGGTGTTAGAGATCTATGAGTGTTGACTGGAAACTTGGTAATTCGAAACTCGCTTTCTTCATCTTCATATCCCGTGACATTTGTGATAGATCTGGAAATACTGTAGTACAACTCTATTTCATCCAAAAAGTTGCTTTAAGGGATGGGACCAAGGACTATTGAACATGTGCGAGGGCGAACAACGTCGTCTTGCAATCCCACCTGATCTGGCATATGGCAGTTCCGGTTCTCCGCCGAAAATTCCGGGTAAGCATATTCAGTATAAATTTGGAAATTGTAATGTGCCTTTTAATTAATCGGTCATCAGCTCCGTAGATTATGTTAGCAATAAACAGTCTGCTACTGTTTACTTAAAATTTTATTACTTTTAGCCGATGCCAGTTTGAAATTCGATATCGAGTTGCTCAAGATTGAACGCGAAGGAGATTTATAGAGTTTTTTGTCTAGCTAAATGTTTTTCCATTAGAATGTTATGTGGAACGAAATTTCACTGCTTCTGTGTTAAGGGTAATGAATCAACATACAAAAATATTTCAAAACAATGCGCAAAAAAATCTATGTCGTAGTTTAGATTTAAAAGGACATAAAATATATATTGACTGGAGATGAATGCACGTTAAGTACGACGTGTTCAGATAAGGTGTATTCTTGAGGCTACAGAGATGATTTTTACGTCTTCAGCAATAACGGCACCACGTGAACCACTGACGACATCACCTACAAGCCATACTGGGAATCCATCAAGCTGTTCCAATTCGGTACTTAAGTGTTTCGCCTGAAAGTTAATGCACAGAGCTACGTTTTCGAACAAATCCATCAAAGAAATGATAACCTGCTCTTTTTCGATGGCAATTAAAAGGCCGCCTGATGTCTCTGCAGATGTTCCACTGAATAAATTGAAACCATTGCCCATCGTTTTTGAGATATCGGCCATGTAATCTATTATAGGCAGGGTATGAATAATAAATTGCACTTCAGCTTTCTGTACTTTCGCCAAACTGTCAGCATGCCCTGTAAGCGAATCTTTTGGTGTTTGCGAACTTCAGGATTCTAGTTTCAGGTAGATTGTGCGCGCTAGAGATGATTAAAAAATCAGAGTAAAGCAAACCTAAAATTCCAAAACCAGTTACATCCGTTGAAGCGTGGGTGCCATATTTTAAAGTCATGCGTGCAGCATTTCTATTTAATCGACACATTTGTTCAACTACTTGCTGATATGCGCGCACAACTCTCGATTTATTTAACCTCAGTTCCTGCACATGTGAATTTCCTCTTTTCAGCCATTCATATGCATTTACTGCCACCTGGCCACCAAGTGGCTGGAAACATGCCAGTAAACAAATTGTTCTTTAAGTCTATTTACCAGGCCTTTAACAGGCTGTTATAACAAGTAGCAAATATAACATCTTAAAAAAGACGTGTAGTAAGAGTGCAGAACTTCAACGGCTCATTACTTTCGGCATTTAATTCAAACTGAGATATATAGTCGCGCTTGTCAAGTAGTAATGACGATGTAGGAAGGAAATATGTCACTGCATGGTAGGTTATGGACCCAGAGACCATACTTCATAGGACAGCGTCATCGATTAACAGTATTCACTAATTCATATTAAGAAACTCCAAAAGATATGAAAGAAAAAAAAAAAAAACTCCAAGTGTGCAAAACACCATTATTTTAAAATATTCAACCTTAACACAAAATTAATAAAAGTGGAAATAAACAATTACTTTGGTGAGCAAAAGGACGTCACCAGGTCGTGCTCCGTCAACCGTAGCCATTTCATTAGCACTGCACACACTTGTAGCTACTCCACCAAGCAGCAACCAAGGACAACGCACTGTTTGGCCACCTCTAATGGCAGTACAAGCTTCTGCTGCAGTATCCTGAAAACTTAAACTGAACACTGCTCACCAGCTTTTTTTTCTGTACTTCAGCCTTCTAAAGGCTCCATGAAGGTTAACATTCTGTGCTGTAATCGAAAAACCTTGAAACCATCGAAGAAATTGGTAGCGACAACATCCCGTTCTTTGTCACTGATATCCTTGGGTATGCCAAGTAAAATCAACATATTGTCACAGTCAACCACTCCCATGGCATACAAATCGCTCAAAACATTTGCACAAGTGATCCTGCCCTAGAATGCATTTCCGCTCCAATATTTAGCAGCAAAAAAAAAAAAAAAAAAAAAAAAAAAAAAAAAAAAAGAAAAAAAAAAACGGCGTGCCATAAGATACGGATCATCAACAAGAGGGTAGAAAAAGTCTGTTGTCTGTACGAGAAACAAGCCTCGGTGTCGCAAAGGAATCACACAGCTATCAAATCCGATACCTATAAACAGTCAACATCATGTCAACTGAATTAAATGGTGCACAGTGGACATCAAACATCAATGTTAAAACTAATCTCTCTCATCGCTTTTGCCATCCGTTTTCAAGTCTTTCAAAAATTCCAACAAAACCTGAAAGAAAAAAAAAAACTCAGTTCTCTAGTAAAATGACAGACGAGAAATCTGCACAAGTCTTTTGTTTTGGGGCTTAATAGAACAGTGATGAAAAACAAGCATCAAAGACAATCTCGATTCAAAATGTTTTGTTGCTAGTCATCCCAAAAATTCCACCCGTTAAAACTTGAAAACTTTTATAATTACTGCGAAATGTACAAATTCTTCCGTCTCAAATTGTTCATCTAAGTTATGTTCACTACTCCATGTCATTATGTCACTGCGACCGATATCAAAACAAGGCATCGAGAACTTACCGCTCTCGGAACCTTACATCCACAACCCTTCATTTGTGTTAGCTTTGTTAGTAAAAAATCAGCAGGCAAGCCATATTCAGCTGAATTGAAGCCAGATTTGATGCGATTTATTACGTTGTTCATTCTGAAAAAGCAAACAAATCTGTTGATACAAAACAGTAAGTTAATACTGGTGAGTTTGATAATCAAACGCAGTTTTTTAAAGCGATAATGCCAACGAAGAATTGCATAAAATGATTCCTGCACCATATCTACACACATCTAACCTTACATATTTTTTGAAAGCTCCCCGTAACAAAATTGATGCAACACTAATATTATATGCGTCTACTTGAGAATTTCGGACCTCATTTAATCATTAACGGCTTGCTGACAATTTTAAAATAACTGCAGTTAGCGATGTACCGTAGCAAGGCAATACAAAGTTCCTCATCTGTTCAATACATTGTGAAAGGTTCGCACAATCTTTTTATTACAGATGATAGTTGGAAATCATATTTATGTAATGAAAAGCATGGCTACAAAAACGCGTGATATGCAAAAATCATGAACTCATTGTAACTACGTTTACAAGGTATGCTGCAGTGTGCATATTCCTATATTTCTAATATTTTACACACAAACACATACATAAAACTCTATATTTTAGCATGATATTTAGCTGAAATATGGCAGTTAAATTAACGTGATTCAGCGACGCATAAACCTCTCGGAAAATGGAACATTTACCAGATTAAAATATCGGCCCATACCAATACTTGATGAACAGTGGGGCCGTATCAATATAATACACAGGATTAATTAATCCTGTGTAACAATCATATGAAAGTACAGTTACGCCATACTCAACCATAACAATTTAAAATTTAAAGTCCTTCATCAGCGCTTTGAATTTGACTTTTATGAAAGTAACAATTTTAACAGACCCTTTCGTAAATCCCATACCTTGACAACATAAAAATGGGACCTCTCAAATTCCTGGTACACATTAGAACATTCCAAACTATCACGTTTTACTAAATGCTAAATATTAAGTCATATAACATCTACATGACATTACTGTCTTCATTTCTAATATAGTAATGCTTTAGACAAATAACTTAAACCCCAAAAAATACAAAAAGTGTAATGAATCAATTACAGTGAAATGCAGAATTGTATATGAAACTTGTATTTAGTTCATCCCTAAAAACTGGTAGAAATAAGTGTAAGCAGATGAGGAAGGATAAGAGAAAATACGATGCTATCTTCCCGCAGGTAACTTGCCCACAACATTTTTGCTCAATACTATTATAATAACGGTGAATTCCCTAACCAACAGAAATTTTCGATCACCTCAGTATTACAGAACTGGTTCCATGGTTCTTACAGTAGTTCCATGCATTCATAAATGAAGTGAAAGATGCAAACAATTACATCACAAGCAGGGTTTGTAAGACACTTGCGTATGCACTGAATGTACAGCCGTTGAAAAAGAACGGAGTTGTACTTGCTCAGCGTCATTAATTATGCATGCATTACTTTCTGTCCAGTCCTCCGGTGTATCCGTCTCTTTACCTGTATAAATTAGCACGTCAAACGAACACGGTGCTTCAAGCAACGGTAGAAACGTTACCGAAGCTGTTATTTGCCTGGAAATGCAACTGAAATAATCACGAGCAAACTTTTGAAATATTTCGGAAGAATGATAGATAAAATTGTGTTTTGAAGTTTGGAGCTGATCAAAACCTAACTTTATTATTACCTGATGACATCAGCTATTTCTTGTTTGATCTTCTTTTCATCCTTTTGTTTCGTCGAGTTTTCACTAAAACAAGAAATTTGTAGGTCCATTTTTTCTGCTTCCCCTTCAGTAACAAACTGGGTTTTTGACTTAAGCCATTTCTAACACTATATCCTCCAGTGTCATTATGTCTGCATAATTAATGACACCTCCACCAAACTTGTGAAGAATGAAAGTCAAGGAATGTTGCCATAAAACCAGACTATCTGATTTTTTTTTTTTTAGAAATCTCCTTTTATCGAAAAAAAAAAAACAACAATAATAACAAAATACCTGTCTTGCTGAATAACTGCATCTGTTTCAATGTCAAATTGCCATCGCTCCAGTATGTCTTTAGTCTGTATATTTGAAATAACAACAACCAGTTTCCTTAACTTCTTGTTTTCCAACCAGTCTGAAAAAAAAAAAAAAAAAAAAAAAAAAAAAAAAGCATTTCAGTAGGAGAACGGCGAATTTAAAATATTTAATTCTGCTAGCAGCAAACTCACAACCAAAACTACCCCAACCTAAGTCACCAGTCGTGATATAGTTCAAAATGGACTCGGTGCCTGTGATTCATATTAGAATTGAGACTTCAACACCTTCCCGTGAGTATCAGCTAGCATAATCTGGAAAATCAATGTAAATGAAGTTTAGAGTATTCCTTATCAAGTGAAATTTAAGCAGTTCGCTCACAGTAACCCTAACCGCTTTATCTCGTATTCAAAGTCGTTTATTCACTCAAAGAAAATCCGGTAGAAGCAAATAATATCCCAACCCCAAGTACCAAAGATGAACATAAACCGCTCTCTGACAATATCCACGAATATAAGTGAAGTTTACAAAAAAATTAATTGCAAAACAGATATGTAGAAATCAAAAAGTTAATCGGAGTTAATGAACTTATAGTAAATGAAGCAAGAAAGAGGGAGCAGATTAGTAATGCAGGAAATACAAATATCTCAGCTAAGTACAAAATCTAGATATCCAAATATCAATTTCTCTTTTTTAAAAAGCAGTACCGAGAATACACTTAAAATAAAATGAAGGAGAATGGAAATTCGATTTAGCTAACCATAATTATACCGATAATAAAACTTAGAAAGAAAAGAAAAGAACCTACATTTGACTTGTTCAAGGAGTGGCGTCAAATACTGCTGCAAGGCCGGATTATTAGTAACGAGCATGGTGAGTCCATATTTCTTTTCCCGTTTGAAAGAATCTGCGGGATATAAACCTCTCAAGTAAAGGATACTATTAAGACCGAAATCTATAAAATCATTTCACTTAAAAACAGAAATATGGTTAAATTGGTACTAGTATTGGTAGTAAGTTAAGGCTTGGGAAATGGAATTTAAAATGAAATTCCGTTTTCAGAAGCTGTGTTAACACGAAATATGCTGAAAGACTGACGCGAACTAGTGAACCTAAGTTAGATTTTTAATTTCAATGGTGAAGCACGGAGGAGAGCACATCTAAGCCGAACAACGTTTTAATTGCTGCAAGTAAATTCTTAATAGGAAAAATTACAGTTCTACAGATTTCATGAAAGAAATAAAGTAAATAAATTAGACCCTAAGTCTGGGGATTATTTTGGCCTTTTGTTGTTTCTTAAAGTGCTCAAAATGCCAATCAGTTACAGCAACTAGAACTATTAACCAAAAAAAAGAGGAAGATGTGATGTGCATGGATAAGTCACCCAACTTCAATATAAATAAACTTTTAGACTGCGAAGATGCAAAACACCATAAGCTTACGAAAAAATTCCTGAATAAGTTGGGCAGATCCTTTGAGACAAATAACATCACGAGTTTTAATAGCCGTAGCCATTGCTTCGTTCTCTGAAATTGGAGTACATGATAAATAAAACTAATTAAGTAATTATAAAATAAGAAAATGTCTGTAAAGTAAAACTATTGCAAATTAGTGTAGCAATGAAAAACTTAGAACAATTAAAACAACTGCACCACGCAATCAGCAGTTAACAAACGAACAGCGTCCAGCCGTAGGTTAACAATGGTGTTAAATACTGTGAAGCTTCATTTATACTTAATTTCTTGGATACGAAGTGAAAATGCGAGCGGGGAGTGAGAGCCTTCTTGATGGCTGGGCTTATTTTCTGGGATAGATGATGACAGGACAGTTGGTTTACTCAGAGATGGGATGGACTAAAATCTCCATGAAATGAGACTTTCGAGTTAAATTCAACGTAGTGTGAACAAAATCTTCAGTTCTCTTCGTTATAGATATTTCTATATTGGCTTATCATTCATATAAAAATGATATAAGGAGATAGGTGACGGATGATCAAATTAGTTATTAATTTGCGGTAGTTATTACTTAGAATTGTTTGGAGTGGAGAGTGGGAAGGAGAGCGGGGGAGAGAAAGGGGAATGAAATGAATATATGAGCAGCATTAACTTCTCACTTTTCATTCTTGTTATTTCATCAGGGATGGAAGGCGCTCCAGCTGCTTAAGGAGACAACTGTAAGTTCCACTATTTTGGACAAATTTTTGAAGATATGGTGTTTCCAATAAGAAAATGTGTGAGCATGTGAATATCGTAAAAGTTCGACGCAAGAGTAACTGTCAAATGTTTTGTTGATGGGACATTACATTTGTATTGCCTAAGCTACTCTACTGGTCCATTTTTGAAAAATAAAGGCAAACAAAAAATATCACTATGGAGCAACATGAGCAGGACTAGCCATAGAATCAAAGTCAGCAAAAATCATAGGAGCATTTTTCGGCGTAATTTCATCCTTTCGACAAGAAAGGGGATCAACTTTCCTTTAAAAAAAGATTGCAGGAGAAGTGTAGCATCTCATAAATGGGCATGATGTGAATGTAATAAGCGTTTCCGCTTTCTCTGTGAATTAGTGAGGAAATGGACCAATGTCTTTGCCAAATTTTTCAGCTCATGCTGCTGCCAGGTTACCTCGTTTGTCGTCTTTGCGTTTCATATATGCCAATTGTTAGTTGGAAGCGCGGCACCGCAGCTCTACCAAAGATATGCACGGGGACAGAGAAAATTATTCCTTTGAGGTTTGCCAGGGCCGAAGAGCCAAAGAGTTCTGAACGAAGGCTAAAACTAGTTATCAGACCAACACCGGAAGATGGCTGGTATGTTATACAACAAAATGGTCTGCTGAAGTCGTACTTACAGGTCTGCCTGATCTGTATCATCGTGTCGTGCATCATTATTTACTTTTCTTGGCACCAACTGTGCATCCAAGATAACTTCAATCACAATGCGGTACTGTGATTAGGTGTTTATTAGCAGTGATCGTTATTAGCAATATTTCTAGTAAATGATCACGGCACAAGTTAATATTTTTTTGATAGCTTCACCTGTTTAATATCTTCCCTTGTTAGTAGTATACCTCTCCCTTGTATAAGTACTGCTTCACTTTAGGTCACTTTCAGTCATCATAAATTTTTGCAGCTTTCCAAAGCAAGACTCACAGCGATGGTAACTACAACAACTGTCAGTGGTTTTATCATGGCCCCAGTTGATTTATCTCTAAGCCCATTAATGGCATGCACTATTGGTACCGCACTGTTAAGCGCATCTGCAAATACTTTCAATCATTTGCTGGAGACACCTTATGATGCTCAGATGAGAAGAACGCAAAGTCGACTGCTTGTCGTGCACAGGTTGATTATTATGGTATTGATGGCAAGTTAGGTAGAGAGAGGTGGATTATGTTGCACTGCTCGGAACAATCTTTGGTATGTTTTTTGGATATAAGCTGTAAACCTGGCAGTAGTATATGAGCAACTTTTCTTTGTTTGGAAATACCACGCATTACAGTTGCATCATTAGCTACAAATGGTTTGCCTTCTTTTCAGACTTCCTCCTTACTAAAGCATACAATGAGAAACTAACTGTCAAATATTGAAGTTGATATAATTCATGATTTTCGAATAAAAAAATCCATTCAGATTTTCACCTTTTCATGCCGTCGGTTTTGCATTGTCAACAGCAATGGCAGGAATGGCAACATTATGGACTGGTTGTAATCCATTAACAGCAGCACTTGGTCTACTCAATGCTTTTTTATATGCAGGTACAGTTATCTTTTTCATTTATAATTAGCTGTATTCCTTTTATCTTAAAGTCATTTCATTTGAAAAAGATCGTTTTTAGTCTTCCAAAACATACGATGCATTTCATCGGTTGCTACTGTATGAAGTTTTTATAGGTGTTTATACGCCAATGAAACGTTATAGTATTGGGTGCACCTGGGTTGGAGCTGTTGTGGGTGCTATGCCACCTTTAATGGGTTATGCTGGCGCCACAGGATCCATCCAACCTGCTTCTTTAGTGCTGGCCGCTCTTTTATATTGCTGGCAGTTTCCTCATTTCAATGCACTCAGTTGGAATCTACGTGCCGACTATACTCGTGCCGGTTATCGGGTTATGTGTGCAGCTAATCAAAGGCTTTGTCGATTCACTTCACTCAGGTGGTATTCACTTATTAACCTTAGTATAATTTATTATATTTATATTATCTAGTTATTATCTCTTTATTATCTTTCCTTTCTTCTCTCTTTTGTTGTTACAATTACTAATCAAATGTTCTCTTTAAGATTTATTGCCCGTTTTAGGTATTCAGCGGTTATTTTACTGCTTTGCTCACTGGGAGCACCTTCAGCAAATCTCACAAAGTGGTTTTTTGCAGTCGAATCGCTTCCATTCAATAGTTTACTGCTTTATCTTTCCTATAAATTTTATCGTCACCCAGATGCAAAGACATCAAGAACACTTTTCCATTACACTCTCCTCCATCTACCTTTAATTATGATGCTAATGACAGTAAGCAAGTTTGGCGATGGCCTAAATGAATGATGATTCTGCTTTGTCGCTTTTTTCGACGAATGCAATAACGACCGCTTTATTCAATTTTATCAATTAATAGAAAATCGTGTTAACAGATTGCAGTTCCTTATTCTGTGTCCATTTCGGACATTATTATTATTTCATCATACGCAACATAGTAAAGTAATACTTCCACTTCATTACTGCCAAATAAACTAGTAACTAACAAAATCTGCATTTTAGCAACATCAGTAGAACTAGGTGATACAAAAGACTTTTATATCAACTAACGACTATGATAATTCTGTTACCTATTATTTCTTACATAAAATGCAAGAAAAAGGCTCATTAACGATCTTCTAATTATCAAAGTTTGATAGCAAGATCTAATATAGTTTAGCTCAACTTCTCCTTCATTACATCTATCATCATTTATATTATTACATCATCTCGTTACTTTCAATGTGTAATGGAGTATGCCGTTATGAGATAGATTGTTTTTCTTCAATATAATTTTTCTTACCGTACAGGCCTTCCTGCTTACAAATCCCTTTTAGTCGTCATACTGTAAAATATGGAAGATTTTTTGAGCATTCGTTTTTCTCTTTATTTCCATTGAAGTCGTTTGCAACTACAAAGGTATTAATAAATGTTCAGGAGACAGTAAAATACATACTTGATTGACATTAAGCGTTGGCTTTAGCCGGTTAGATGTTGAAAAAATGGAAGGCTCAAATTATACCACAGAATCTTACCGAAATAAAAGAGGTTTTTTGTATGATTTTGAGGAATTTTTCCTGCACAACAGTTAATATAAGCCAGGGAAAGATGAAATACATTGTCTAACAAAAAAGAAATTAAACTGTATGTAGCAGACCACAGTGAAATCAAGACGTCTAGATTTGATTGAGTACTTTTCTTAAAACCAATTTTGACTTGACTAGTTTGTGAGAGTGACATAGGATTAAGAAGTCGAGCTCGTCATGGCCGGCTCCGCAGAATTAATACGATAATTATAAACTATAATGACAACGATCGTAAACTTGGGAGTTTATAAGCATCCTGGAAACACAATGTAGTTGAATAGATAAGAGATGCCCAAGGAATTAATTACCTAGCCACGTTTTTTTATTTTCGAGGGAATTTGTATGTGGCTGCTTAAGCTATTCAGGTGTATCACGGTCTTTTGAGATTGATTCGCCAAGATCTACAAGTAAACAGCAGGAATATTTTCTGAAGTATGTAACTGAGTAGTCAGAAGCCTTGTGCTCGCTGTAAAATGCAGTCAGTTCTCAACGCAAACCTTTAACAAAAAAAAAATCTCTGATAACATCATTAGCAAGATCAGTAATAGGTGTGAGTACTAATTCCTTATCCATTTTTGTGTGAAAGCAAACCCAAGAAGATAAATCACCACTCTAATAATGATGAGGTTGTTCAGTGCATATCCAAATGATTTGATACCACAATGAACATGATGATAACATGCAGATGAATGGATATCAACAGATGTTGGAAATGATCGATTCTACCGGCAAAAGATGTGGCTCTTTAATTCTGTCCTGCCTTTCTGACAACTATCCTTTCCGCGCCAACTGCACTAAATGCAGTGCTTTCTTGGATCTCTGATACAATTACATCTGCTTCAGCCTTCAACACTCCTGCACGACGACACTGTGGTAAGTGGGGTAGGTGAAAAAATTGCAGTTTAGTAAGATGAACTCATAGCTGCAATTCTGAACTTATGTATCCTGACAGAAGTCGCATCAAACGTCAGTCAGCTCGGTTGACTTATCACGAGCTAGGCGTCACTTTGTGGTTGGCTGAAGTGATAAGAGGTGGAGCGATATCGATGGTTTCTGTGAGCCCTGCATGTTTTTAACTGGCCACATGGAGTATGGATGCAGAGTTGAGGACGGTATGCGATGCTTGTACGTTTATTTGCTGCGTCGGTTGCTCGCGATTTTATGGATTGCAACCTTTCTTATTGGTATTACTGTGTACTCCCTAAGTAAATATAATGATGCGGTGGATCATGAAATCCAATTAAACTTCGAAAATCGATTACATAGGTTGCAAGACGATTTGAAGAGGGTATGTTGTATTTCCTTCCACTTCACATGATTCAAAAAATGATCAAATCGTACACTTAAGTCGCACTTATCCACTTCCTTGTTCCAGTTCTGTTCTGGGGACCTACCTTGTATTTTAGATCTTTTCGGTCTTTATTGAATAGGTTCAAGTATTTTTGGCTTGCAAATTATCAAACTTTCATATAATTTTCATCTCTTTAACAAAATAAACAGTTTAGACTCAAATGTTGTTAAAGGATCGAGATCGGGAATGTTATTTATCCAACAATTTGCCAAAATTGTTAGCTAATGATACAAAGGTAAGTGAAGCTTTTCTATTCTTAGTGATATTTTTATGATTTATTCATTTCTGATTAATTGATAGTAACGTTGGGTGTAAAAAACTAAAACTTGTTTGAACTCTGTTTATTTTTTATCCCTATTTAATATCTGTAATTTGTTTTCAGGAATTGGCACTACCACTACCAACATTTATCGACTTTTTGCCTCATCTCTATACTGTTCCGAATCACGCTTTACATCCTGCATTAATTTATCCAAATAATTTTTCAAAGATGAAAAAGACGGACCTTGTTATTGGCATACCAACAGTTGCTCGGCTCAATGTACGTTGCTATTGAAATCTTCCACTGTTTGACTGGCGAATTATACTCATTAGTTTGCTTTCTTCTTATAATCTCATTTTATCTGAATAAATAGATTTATCGTTAAAATAATTTATAAATTTGTTATGTATAGCAATCTTATTTGATACCGACGTTGCAATCATTAATCGGAGGAATAGCAAGCAGTGAAATTAAAATGGTCACAATTATTGTTCTCATTTCCGACAGCAAAGGCCCCAATTCTTCATTCGTAAAATATCAGTGCACTTTATTGCAGTCAGAATTTCCTTTTGAACTAAACTCTGGTTTGCTAACGGTATGTTTCATTACGAATCTCCTGTAGTATAATATTTTTCGACAAATATTGTTTCTGTGTATAATTGAACTGCAGCTTAGAAAATCTTTTAGTACTCAATAAGGATGTGTACAAAGTACTTAGGAAAAAGATATAGTTTTTTTATTACCTAAGCTGAAACCTGACTTATTCTATGTCTTCAAAGCAACGCTGAACCAGCGTTGTTTTGTTTTTTATTTTTTGCTTCTTAATTTTTGAGCATAATAAAGAAACAGTGTGTCATTTTGAGTCACAAAAATTTCCTTTCAGGTTATTGTTCCACCTAACGAGTGGTATTCTGATTTATACTCTATCACTCCGACTTTTAATGATTCTCCAGAACGAATGTATTGGCGTACGAAACAGAATTTAGATTATATGTATTTGATGTTATATTCCCAACAACGAGGTAAATTTCAGTCAAAATATGTTAATATTACAAAATTTGGTTAAGGTTATTCAAGTATTCATGAGCAAAGAATTTAAGCGAAATATTATTTCAGGTGAATATTATTTACAGCTAGAAGATGATGTACTCGCAAAACCAGGATACGTCAGTCGCATCAAAAAGTTTATTGATGGAAGAATGACCGATGATTGGCTCATGCTTGAGTTTTCATCCTTAGGCTTCATTGGAAAACTTTTTCGAACCTCCGATCTTACATTGTTACTACAGTTCATCGCAATGTTCCATAAACAGAAACCAGTGGATTGGTTGTTAGATCTGCTGTTTGTAAATCGATATTGTCATCCGGAGAAGTCCGCTAAACATTGTGCTGAGGTTTACATCCATCCTAAAAAAATATGAAATTTCACAACCTCTTATAACCTTTCAACACAGGGTTGTGTTGAAAGGTTATGCTTCAGGATGGTTCATAAGTGTATAATATGTGCATTTCGGCAGGCGTTGCAATTTCATTAGAAAACGCTATAATCAACGTTATAACTTCCAGAACGTACTCGGATCCTATGGAGATTCGGCTAATTGTAGTTATCCTTTTGTTTTGTTCATCAGAAATTCCTGAATATAATGCTTGCTGCTGTATCTTTTTCATTATAAAAACGTCATGCCAGGATCATATTTATTAGCGGTTTGTTGTTTGCAATTAAGCTAAGTTTGAAATCTGATTGCAGTATTGTCACGTGGATCAAGATGTATTATTCTTAAGGGTTTTTTTTTTTTTTATTGGTCTTTTTAAATTTAGATGGTCAGTTGAGATATGTGAGAGAGATTGTGTTGGGAGTTCTTTTACAGCGTTTTTGATGATGTTGCTCTTTTAGTTCATTTGTTGAATTCGTCATTCCTGATATGAAACTTCACTTAACTAAAAACTGGCAAATTTACATGTCAAGCAAGAAGTTTAGGTTCGCGAGGATGCGTGCATCATTCTGTTATTACGCCAAACTTGATATGAAATTGTGTTTCTATATCTCAAACATATTGACGTAGCTAGTTTTAGTTTGTCTTTTATTTCAGTGTTTACCATATTGATGAAATAGGTGAAGTGTTGATGAAATATGTGTGAAGAGTATCTAACATTACCAATATTTCCGTCTTTTTTCAGATTGCGAAGCAGCACCGCATTCGACATCGACCCTCTCTTTTCCAACATATAGGTGTTCACTCTTCGCTGGCAGGGAAAGTGCAGAAGTTACGGGAAAAAGATTTCGGTAAGGCGCAACTTTATATACCACATCGCGATAATCCTCCCGCTAAGATTACCACAACGCTTAAAACTTATATGCTCTTCGGTGAGTCTTTCGTTTTCTGCCGTAAAACTGAAAGAAGTTTTTTAACGGTTTAAGTCACTAACTGTAAGTCACTGTAGTTTATGATTCTGAAGAATCATTCAGTGGTGATAGATTTACGTGACAGGTAAATCTTTTTACTTTTTTAGTATTGTGAAAAGGACTGAGAATTAAGATGGAAAGACTTCTCTACTTTTTTTTTTTTTTTTTTTTTTTTCATATTATAGAAGTTTTTCCGTTTCAGATATTGAAAATGCTTATACCGGCAACAACTATTATTGGGCTTTTGCTCCAGTTGCTCAGGACTACATATTATTCGAATTTTATTCTGCTATTGCTGTGATTGGTTCGTGAACTACATCTTTATTCAAATTCGATACACAGTCTTATTGTCAATTAAACGGAAGTATTTAAGGCATTGTTATTCGTACTGGTAATCCCGAACATCAATATGACATATTGGATGAAAATGCGGAAGTGCTACTGAGGAAAGTGAATGAAGACAATTTCACCTCTATAGCCCATTTCAATGAACGTGGTACTATACGAGTCGACTTCACTAAGAGCGTCAGAGTGACTTCATTGAAAATCGAAATTCATGAGGAAAGCTCCAACTGGCTAATCATCAATGAAATGCATATCATTGTAGAATAAGATTATGTGATCTATATTTTTGAATATTATATAAAAAGCATATGATTTCTTGTTTAGGTGCTATCGATGTTTTTCAACACTCAGTTCGCACGTCTGTGTTTTATCTACGTGAATTGCTCTTATTTTGCTATCTTTTTGAAACAATCATTAAATTAAGTAGTTGATTTTTTTTTTTTCTGTAATTCGAGTAGAAGGAGTCACATGGTGAATATCATCGAGTGAAACGGAAGAGTGCCAGATGAATAGAGCTGCCTGGGCTCCTTATAACTTGTTTACTGTACAGCGAATCGTTTGTTTTAAAAAATCGAACATATTACGTGGTGACTGCACTTACTAATTGATGTTTCATGGACTTCATAGAGAGGTAAAATATGAATTATTCGATATATATCTTTTGTGAAATCAATACAGAGATCGATGTATATTGTTTCTCATACACTAGTACAGATACTGTTAACCAGTGGTGCACCTGATTGCGTTAGTTTATGGTGATGAATTGATGCATGCAAGTATGCGGTATTCTTTTTTTACAGCTTTGCTGTCAGTAAATTTTCATCGTAGTTCTCTTGTGCCTCCTAAAGCCAATGTTACATCTCTACTTATATATTATGCATAAATTTTATTGGGGTTATCTCCCAGGTTCGTGACGACGGTATGCTGACTTGTGATATGTGTTCTAGTATTGCAATGAAGTTATTTAATGACGGAAATATTATGTGGACTGGATGTTTGCTTCCCTTGTCCTCCCTCCCCCTCCCACCCCGTAGACAGTTTCAGTAGACATCGATAGCGACTTATCAGTAGGCGAAAAAGAAGAGAGGTAGTTCAAAGAGCAGAGTCTCAACGGTTGTTCAAACATGGTCATTTCTCGAACGATCAGTCATCTCGAACCTCCTCGCCACATTTTTCACTTGTTGTGAAGCGGACGTACGACCGCGATTTATTAACAAGACTTGTATAGTAGTTCCACTTTGCTGTCTTGTTCACTTCAGTTTTTCTTTGTCCTTTCGCTGTGCCTTCACTTATTTCTTATTTTTCATGGGTCTTTGATCATTCGAAAGATTCCCCCTTTTTCGACCTAGTCTGTGGTACCGGTACTTATTTGAGCAGATGTCCTACTAGTTATTATTTTAATACCACTTTATAGAAAATCCAGGAGTACTACCTAATTGATTGAAAGATCAAACCAATAAGAAATTCCTTCGGTACTCAGTCTTTCTAGGCGACTAGTTATTGCTGAATTAAGGAAGCGATTATTCTACAATACTACTGACGATAAATTGACATCTTTGTAGCAATGGTACAAATTAATTGGTATGTATTCATACTGTGATGGTATATAGTGTTTTAGGGTAATCAATGGGACATAGTCAGCAAGTGACAGATATATACGCAGGTCAAAGTGTACTGGTCACTGGTGCAAGTGGCTTTCTTGGTAAGGTCCTCATCGAAAAATTATTATATTCAGTAAACTCATTAAAAAATATATATCTGTTAATTCGTCCGAAAAATGGTCTTGGCCCAAAACAACGGATGGACACAATTGTTCAGGTTTGTGTTACCTTTCAAGAAAAGAATGTCAGATGTGAGGAGTTTAAGGCATAAAGTTAATATAGCTTTTGTTAAAATATAGATATGAATACATAGGCATTCGGTGCAGAAGTGTTAGCCAGATTCTTAATTATGATTTCAATCTTACAGGGTCCATTGTTCGACCGACTGCGTCGGTCTAATCCTGGAATATTCGCAAAATTGATACCAATTGGTGGTGACATTATGGAAGAAGGTTTGGGCCTCAATCAACTGGATATGCAAACTATTTGTGATGAAGTTTCTATCGGTAAGTTAATGGAGAAAGCACTTCGCCAGACTTAATATCACAACCATTCATTTCAGTATTCCACTGTGCGGCAACCGTGAAGTTTGATGAAGCCTTACGAATATCTGTAGAAATGAATGTTCTGGGGACACAGCGACTTGTCGCTCTTTGTCATATGATTAAAAATTTACTTGTAAGTCTTCAGATGTCTCATTCTCGTGTTTGTCTGGTATAAGTTTATCTGGTTTTTAGACATATCTGTTGCAGGTACTGGTTCATGTCAGTACAGCATATGCAAACTGTGACAAATCAAAGATATTAGAGATAATTTATCCCCCTCCTGTGCCACCAAATAAACTTTTCGAGGCTATCGACTGGATGGATGATGTGGTAATTGATGCTATTACGCCACATTTGCTTGGTAAAAGGCCGAACACGTACACTCTAACAAAAGCTCTTGCTGAAGTTCGTTTATCTCAGACATGTATAATATATAAGCTTCATAGTTTTTCCAATACATAAATATACGAAGGTGAGGAATATACGAAGGTATATCAAGGTGAGGAATATACGAAGGTACATAAATATACGAAGGTATATCAAGATGATGCGGAAGATATTTAGTAAGTTATGTATGCAGCATTCAGGGGATAAGTGTGATAAAGCTTGGATATATTGTTGAAGCGTCTCTTTGAGCTAATTATTGGTAATGCAATTCGAATTTAACTGAAGTGGATAATTTGATTTGCAAATTTTGTCTCCAAAAGTTGAGGTTTATACGGCAATATTTGTTTAAATTTATCAATTTTGGTAATGCAATGGAGTCATTTAAAAGAAAAAAAAAAAAAAAAATCGGAGGTATTTGTGGAAATATTTTTTTTTTGAGGTTTTGGTTATGTTAACCATTGGAGATTTGGATTTTATAAATGAATATTTCGATGCGACTTAAGAGAGTAGGAATGATTTTAAGTTATAAATATTTGATGTTGATATTGTCAGAACTAGCAATATCAGTATTAAATTTGCTGATACTCAGTACTCATGCTTCAGCTGGTACTCATTTTTGGTCAGTTTGTCTTTTCTTTAGGTGCAGCTGATGGAAGATGCAAGGCGGTTACCGGTAATTATTGTGAGACCGTCAATAATAGGAGCCATGTGGCGAGATCCCCTTCCTGGTTGGACAGATAATTACAATGGACCAACAGGAATTTTTGCTGCTGTGGGTTTCATTTCGCTAATAACAGGAATCGATCAGCGTCACCTTGTTTCCCCTGGATTTTGCTGTTCTGGTGGAATTGATAAATTTCTCATTTCATCCATTTCTATACCCATCTGTGCTAGTTAAAAACATTATTGTCATCTTACTGTTAAGTTTATCCGATTTTGAGGCATCTATGCAATCTGAATTTTATTTCTAAGAGAGGTGTGATATTTGGTTTTGCAGTCGATATGACGTTAAGCCCACTTTGCAAATGGGAACAGGTTGTGTTTTATAGTGCGGCAAAGGTGTACTGACAAACATGTGTGGTAGCAGCTCAGCGAAAGCGGACATAATACCAGTCGATATTGTTTCGAACTTGATGATCGTTGCTGCAGCCCACAGAACTTACACCGAGTAATGTTTTCATATGATGTTTCGTCAGTCACACTGTTACCAAGAATTTCCTACCTTAATGAAAAATGGAACTATGTAAATGTTTAGGTATGAATCGATACCGGTAATACACTGCTGCTCAGGAGCTTTAAATCCCATTCAGTGGGATTTTATTGTTAATTTCATCGAGCACTTTTTTCGCACTTATCCGCTGAACGAATGCTATCGCATTCCATCAACTCATTTTCATTCCTCTAGATTTCTGTTCGAATTCAATTTTTATCTGAAGCACATGGGCCCCGCTTATCTTATCGATCTTCTGAATACGTTCTGGGGTCCAAAAATAAGGTAACTTTCTTAACAAAAATCTCCTTTTTGCTTATATCACTTCTTTTTGTTGCTTACTTTTTTGCAGATTTACTCGTGTCTACCAGAAAGTTTTGAGACTAGTTGAAACGCTTCATTATTTTACAACTCGAGGTTGGGATTTTGATTCCAAAAGTCTCATCGAATTGTGGGAAACAACTTCAGAAGAGGATAAAAAAGTTAGTTTACCATATTCTTACATGTTTTATGTCTTATTGTGCCTTTCCATGATTAATTTTTTTGCTAATTATTGCTGGAAATGGTGTTTAATCCTTTGAAGAATTATGCTGGTTCTATTTGCATTTCCCTATCATTATACAGTGAGATCTACTACATTTTTCGACCTGCAGTGAACAAGAACACATAATTTTTAAAAGTTTTGTATACTTTTTGTCACGCAATTGCTCGTCACTTTACAGATATTCAATTTTGATATACGACAGTTAGATTGGAATTCGTACCTGTTCGATTACCTTATGGGCGTTAAACGATATGTGGTTAAAGATAGATTGGAAGAACTTCCAAAAGCAAGACGAAATCTTTCTTGGTATCCAAGCCCTAAAACTATTATTTTCTTCGGTTTATAAATGTTTTATATATATATATATATATATTTATATTTATTTATTTATTTTCAGGCTGAAGATATATGCTGCAGTTTTCAACGCTTTAATTTGGTGGATTTCTGTACGTATATTTGCAAGGTTAATTTACCCCACTATTTCTTCTATTTCATGAAGAGAGAGAAGAAAAAATGGTACTCATTAGCAGGAGAGGAATTGTCTGTCCAGTCATTGATATATCTAGTTATTATGTGTTTAACTGAAATGTCATTTGAGTGACATACATTCTGTTGCAGTTACCTGCTGGTATCGTAATTTTTCTCACCAAAATTATATTTTCAGACAGCGTTCTAGAAGATACCGTTGGTTTAGTGGAAGTATTGGGTTTTTGTTGACATACATTTGGTCAAATTACAATTTTCGCCCACCAGTTCGTTTGAAAAGCCTTGAAGAATACAAGCAAAGAGCAACTTTTTAAGTGAAACATTATATTTAGCTGTTGAGCCACTGTGGCAGGGATAGTTTTTGAATTGAACACACAATAAATCAGCTTGTGTTTCACTTGTTGATTTGTTGCAAGGTTGTTCATTTGTTTGAATTATTGAATACTCCTGGCTATGAACATGCTCCCTGGCTCTCTTATGTTGCTCCCTGGCTCTCTTATGTTTGTAAGCTAGACGACATTTATGTTCTACGACTGTTATCAATGTATTGTAGAAAGGATCGCCCAATTTCAAAAGTCTTTTATTAATGAAATTTAATACTTGTTCTCGTTATAAACAGTGTACTAAGTTCATTGAAAGCTTTTTCATATATTTGTGATATCCACAGACGAGTGCACTGTATATAAGGTAAAGTGTTACATGCAAAAACTGAAGTGCTGATGTAATTAAAGCGTGTGATTTACTGCGAATCTTTAAATCTAGTTGTAAAATGGTAATTTCTGATTTAAGTAGTGATGTTCTAGAACTGACATTCCCACTCACATCATCTTTCCTGTTCTCATATTCTCTTAATTCTTCATATACGTTTGCTCTAGATTTCATTATTTCGGTCCTGCTTATTCTGGTTGTATGGGAACGCGCACACAAAGTTCACTGCCTCTGAATGTTATTGGTTGTTTTTATAATCCAGAAGACTGTCCAAGTGTCTAGAATTTCTTCAGTGACATTTTAGAAAGCTAACCGAATATACACAGTGAAAGTATATAAGACCAGTCCAAAAGGCACTGCAAAATATCGATGAGATTAATCGCTGTTTTGATTGGCTCTGCTTCAGATACATTTATAAAAGCATTTTTTTTTTTTTTTTTTTCTTTTGGAATGTAGTTGCTTCTTAATGCTAAAGTCGAGGTCATCGTACTGAGAAATCATCGTTTCATCTTAAAATTATGTCCATTATAAAACTATGAGTCGTTGAACTGCGTTTTGCATTGAGGCTTTGTATGTTGAAGTGTTCTCTTCCATACCCCTTTTACAGTGATATAAAATGAGCATGAAGTTGTGAAGAGATTTGTGTCAAACAGTGACTCGAGTTCCGCTACAGAATGGGTGTAGATCATGTGCATATAGTTCTGCATGTTAGTTGGGAGTCTGTATGTTAGGAGAGTGAAGATGTATTTAGTTCATTATTCATCGCAAGTTTCACCTATTGATTGTACAGTGATGAGGATGAAAGTAAGGCTAACGGAAAGTATCACTTCTGGTCCGAGATAGTGCGTTACGGTTGTTAAAATTTCGTCTTTTGTTTGAGTAACGTCATAATTACTACAACCGCGAAGACTTGCTGTCGATTAAGCACTGGTGTTGGTACAGCTGTTGGTGTAGACGGAAGAAAAATACTGCACCAGCATAACCAAAACTCCACTAAGTACAGGCTGCTTTGATTGGTATGTCCTCTCAAGCCTTTGCCCGGCTATAGATCAAACGAAGAAGGTTACGGTAATTTCGAGGGAAGGACTCGTGTCTTACGGTACCGATTTAATGGCGTGAAATCGTTTCTTTGACGGTAGTTGTTCTACGGCTAGTGAAATTGCACTGTTGCTATACTTTTTGGTTACGTGGTACAGTGGGATTGAGTTGAAAGGAAGCAGTCAAACCAAGATCAAGGAGTAGTTAGTTGCTGTGGATGACTAGCTTTTAAAGGTATGCATTTCGAGAACGATATGAACTCCTCATGCGTTACATGGTTAAAACATGTGCGAGAAATATGTGTCCGAGTGATGATTCCTTTCAAGAATTTAGAAGCAACGATTTGGTTGTAAGAACTAGAGCTTGCAACCTTCAGAATAAATGTTTAAGAAGCATGACGATCAAGTGGTGTTCTTACGGAACATTAAAAAAAATAAAGCGATAGATAAAGAGGGAAGATAGGCATCACGAACAATTCGCTACAAGCAAAAAAAAATGAATTATTCCTCGACTCCATGTCAAGCTGTAACATTCTCTCTATTTTATTTTTCTTTTTTTCTGTTTCGTGTCCTTGTAATTTATGGTTATCAGAGTACTAAAGGACTTAGGGGATGTTTTCAGTATGAGGACACTCACGTCGTTGATCGAAGTGATTTTGTTGTTTTGTGTTTAGGGAGAAAGAGAACACGTTGTATATTCTTATCATGTCTCCTTATTAGCATAAGTATTTGCGTTGATTTTAAGAATCACTGTATGTCGCGAATATTTTATCATTAATCATTGCCATTTCATTTTATTTTTCTAACTTAATATGTGAAGAAGTTATTAGGACAAAAGTAACAAAAGTAAATCAGCCAGTGGACAGAGTGATACGACAACTCATCTCTTGAACTTCCTTCGGGTGATTTAGACAAAGCTATATTTGGTATGGAATCGGGTAAAATGAAGAACTGGAATGTTAAGAGATGAATATGTTAATGCAGTTGCCTTATTCATTCCTTTTGTCAGCTGTTTGCAGGGAACGTTACTCTCACGTGCATTTCTTGCCTACCTTTTCTGTTTTAACAGGCAAGACAGGTTTTTTTGGCTTGGTTGAGAAGACTAAAGCTCTGTTAACATGTTGTAAACAAGATTGTTAGCTATAAAATAAGATCTTTCAGATGATGTCTTTAAAACCAAAATCAGATTTTATAAATCGTCGTCAAGAATGAGCTGTGCAGGACAAATCATATACATTATAATCAACAGCTGGGTTGTATACCTGCATGCACAACTTTCTATCGTTATAAAATCGTTGTAAAAAAAATGAATAGTTATTGTTACTTCCTACCTGATATTACTGATAACAAAAAATTGCTCGAAATTTCAATTTTTATTCTCGTTGTGATTAATTAATTTATCATCGTTAATTATAATTTATTTTCATTACCCAAGTAATTTACCACATTTTACTCACTTCTTAATGAAAAAATTCCCGGAATTATAATTACTCACTTGTTTGATGAAATAATTTAATCATTTTTATCCTCTGCCTGTCCTATTTTTACTTTCGAATGAGTAGCTGAATTACTAAAAATAGTTGGGCGATCAGTAATCACTAGGTCTTGGAATCGAGCACTTCACTTAGTGTAAATTGTGCAGGGAAGTTGATGCGAGTCAAAAGAAGGTTATTGAAGGTTGCAGGAAGCCGTTGCTATGCCAAGTTTTTCCGGACAACCACAACAACGTGCAGCTGTCATACGTATGGTCCAGTGGACGAAGATGATACAACGATTATATTATCTGCAATATTCGGATCGTTATTTATTAGCGAAGTTAAACCATAGAATATATTATAGTTGTGTAGTTTATCTGTAGCTTTTTCTATTTGCTGAATAGGCACACAATTAATGTCGCTGCTTATATTTGTAGTGAAAGAGATGTTCTTTCTTAGATTTTATTTTTATATGGACTCCAGTACAGTTCTGATCTATGCCCGTCACTAATCGCTAGTGAATATATTCATCTATTTTTGTTTAGCAAATTTGTAGTGAGATGATCAGTTTTTAGCAAATGGAAGGATTAGGTGCTAATGTGGAGCTATGCGACATTGGAAAGCAGACATTATCTGATGGTTCCATAATCAAGTTCCCTCCAGTTTTGTTCGGTACCCCTGGCAATGATAAGGCCAAAAAAACACTTCTCATTGATGGTCATTTGAATATACAACCTGCTGAAAAGTTGGAAATACAGAATCTTTCAGTCTTGTTGAATAGGTGCATAATATACTGTTTATAATTGCAACTTCACGGTCAGCGCAGTTCCTTACCATTTCACATTTAGAGATAAATTTAGTGGTTACTTCACATGAATGAAATAGTCGTCACAGTAATGAGTCTTTCGAGAAAAGCATAATATATCTTGGAAATTTCGAAGACTGTTGTGAGACCATTGTGATAAATTATCTGTCGTGACATGATCCCATAATTCTTAGGTTGTGTAAAGAAAAACTATATATGAAATTGCTTTCAGGGTGGGGAATTATGTGAATGTGGCTCAACCGACGACAAAGGACCAGTAGTTGCATGGATAAATGCACTGGAAACGTTGTATAAATCTGAAATCCCAATACGAGTAAATATAAAGGTATAATTTGAGCAGTTTATTATAATTGAATAGTAGGTAGTCATGGAATTCAGACTACGGATATACGAATATTAATCATTGAATTGTCATTGTTACGATTTCTTTTTCATATTAAATGTGTTATAAACGTGATGCGGATAATAACAGGAGTTAATTCATATTTATAGGAAGTTATTGGGTGATATAAATTGCAATATAGAACACTACTGCTCAACACATGTGAACACTAGTGTTGTAGTTGCTTTAAAGAGGTGAATTCAGAATGGTCTCAGAAGTTTTTATTGATTTTATCCGAGATCAGTATGCCTCTAAAAGCGTGAATTAAGGAAGGAAGACGTACCACGTTCGAGCATATATTACCATCGAAAAAGCAGTATTGAGTGTTGTAGACTCCATTTATGCATTCTACTGATTTGAAGTTCTGTTTCGAAGCAATGGAAGAAAGTGGCTCATTAGGACTGGAAGAAATATTAGAGAACAAGGACACTTTCCTGAATAATTTCAACTTCACTTGTATATCTGATAGCTATTGGCTTGGCAAAACCAAGCCTTGCATTTCGTACGACTTGAGGTGTCCAGATTGATTTTTGACATGACACATTGTAGTATTAAAATCATTGCAACTTTTATATTTCTTTATGGCCCTTATTTCACCCCACTTATTTATGCATCTACGTGAACACTTAGCTATGCTTAACTGTTTTTCATAGACCTAATAGAAGAGTGACGATATCCTTTATTAATCTCTGTTACCTCTTGATTTCGTTATTTATGCGCTGTGCTTAGGAGTTCTTACTACTATTTCATCGAGATAATTGATTACAGGCCGGACTTACATAGCGGCATATTCGGAGGCTCAGTGTAAGTTCATTTTTGACTATTAATCTAAATGCATTATGGACATATATGATCCAAGGGATTTTCTGTATTGACATCATAGAAATATTTTTATCCTTATCAAATGAAAAAAAAAATCTGTGATTTATACCATTACTTGTTGAAAATATTCCATTAAATTATCGTAATATGTAGTTTATCCCGTCACTGCCATATATTTTAGGTTTTCTTTGAACTTATTGTTGACCGGTTGGCACAAACGAATAGTCGGAATAAACTTTATTTTAACGACATTATAAGAATTACGAGATAATATCAAACATAATACCACAAGTAGTTAAGTGCAGGGAAATTTGGCTCAGATTAGCTGAATGTTGTTGTTGAGTAGAGATGAATGAGATGTACAGGGAGTGCTGGAACGAACCGAATTAAAGCTTGCTATCGCTAAAGATTCCAAACAAAGGATTTAACTTACATAGTGTGGGCATTAGTTTGCAACAGTAGACTTTTACAAATGAGTAGACTGAAAATCAGATATAATGATTTATTTAGAACATTCCGGCAATGCACGAGGCTTCCCTTACAACATTGCAGCAATTCACATAAGATTGCTAAGCATAAGTTGGAAGATCTTTGCAACATATCGATATTGTACATAAGCTTATTTACAGTTTAAAGGATACCTAATTAACTAATTCTTAAAGGATAAGAATTAGGTAATTATTTATTACATCTTATAGATTTGTCACAAATTTATTTCGATGTGCTGTAAAATTTCGGTTTTTCCGATATCATTTAAATAGTTAACGAAGATCATGTAATCATGTAACGCAGACCATGTAAAAGGTACTATTTGTTCTAGATACGAGCCAATGGCAGATTTAGTTTGGGTGATTAGTCAGTTAACGGATGTGGAGGGAAACATCTTGATTCAAGATATTATGAATTTGGTGACTCCAGTAACGAATGAAGAAAGGAAATTGTACGAAACCCTTGATTTCGGTGTGATACGTATTATTTATTGCCACTGTGGTATGAGACTAAATCATTTCCTCATTGTTCAGGAGGAATATCGTGCCGATATTGGTGCCATCAAATTATTAAGCGATTCAAAAGAAAAAATACTGATGAAACGATGGAGATATCTTACTCTTTCACTACATGGTGCATTTCTTGACTGCCAACTTTTATCTTTATAACTGATCTATATTATTAGTTACAGCTATATCTATAATCATATAAGTTTCATGAGCAATGATCAGTAACATGCTTGTGTTGCTTTTTTTGTACTATGATTTAATGGTGGTACAACGAGTTACGCGTTTTATATATTTTTAAATTGTGTTCTATTTATTAAAGGAATCGTAGGAGCATCTAGTGGCGAAGATGCGAAATGGTCATTCCTGCCAAAGTAACTGGAAAGTTCAGCATTCGACTTGTGCCAAAGATGAAGCCAGCGAAAGTGAACAGAGTTGTTTGACAGCATTTGAACGCATTACGGAAGATTAGAATTTCTCTCCCAATCACTTCGAGTAAATGGTTTAGTCGTTACCTGCAAGCTTTGCTGCTTTGTAGTTATTATGAATAAAGGAGATCATTTCAGAATAAAGAATAAAGCCACTTCATTCTGGTGTTTATTGGTTATCTGACTTCAAGGATTCTCCTATCAGTATGCAGCAAGAGCTATCTAGAAAGGTAAATCCTTTTCCTTTTTTCACTCACCAAATTTTCACTGCTGTCTTACAACTGCATTTTTAGTGTGTGGTATAGCACCGGATTACATCCGAGAAGGTGATAGCATACCAGTTACCAAAATATTTCAATAGATGACCAGAAGCAGCGTACTTCTATTACCCATCAGATCATCAGATGACATGGCCTACTCGCAGAACGAAAAAATAAATTTGGTGAATTATATGGATGGCATCAAATTGTTAGGGGCTTACATCCTTGAGCTATGCTCTTTATGAAGTAGTAATTTCTTTCTCAGGAAGAGGTCAATTTCACCATTGACCAGTTTTTCATATATGGAAGCTGGTGGGACACTTCTTCCTATTTATGACAACTTGCACTATTGCAATGAAAAATTTGATTATAATGTGTATTATTGTTTTTTTTTTTTTGATTATAATACATAAGTATTACTTGGCAGTTCATGTGTCGTAGTATGTTACTTCATCATGATGGAATAAATAATGGATACTTCCAACAGTTATCAAGTAGTCATTAGACAAAAATTCTGAGCGAATGGCTTAATTCGTAAACGGAAAAAGAATGCTAGTACTTCGGGATACACTGTTTTGCTTCGTAATGCTACAATGAGCCACACTTATTTTTGTTAGCTCTTCAGCACAGTTAAAAACCGAATAACCTTGAAATGCTCGGTCATTAGAATTGTTTGCATTGCTCACATTTGGGATTGCTCGTATGACATAGTGAAGAAACATTGTTCGGCCATAGAAATTGTAAATATAGAAATATGAGTCATTTTTGGAAAAAGCATCACTAAAACGTTTTTATGAAACAAACTGAAGTAGAATCTCAGCGTCTTGTTTCCACATTTATTATTTAGTAAGACTTATCTCTGAAGATTTTCAAATATTTCGTCACTTCACTCCGTACAACTTACAGGATTATGCTTCAACGTTTAGTGGTCAAATTTCTCTTTAGTGAGTTGTCTTAGGTTGGTTATCTTTGTAAAGAACTTAGGTAAATTCTCACAATTTTATTGTGGATGGGTTTTCTGTCATCATCAGTTAATGAAATTGACTTGCCTTCATAGGTGCAGTTGACAGATCTTCGACCAAAACTTTTTAAGCACCTTTCTGTTGTGCTTTAGACTCAGCATGTAAAAACGGTAGGCCTGTATCTGTTTTACAAGGATGAAATGTACGACGTTATCCTAAAGCTAAGGCTAAGATCGTAAGGCTGGAATAATCGTAAAAATGTGTATATGTACAAACCTTTCAAGCAATTTTCACTTTTGAAATTCGGTACGATAGTTCAAGTCTTGCAGATGTCCAGTTCCAAGGAATTTTTTTCTTCTTTGCTTTTACAACAAAGACCCATTTACAACTCCACTACTGACCATGGCTGATAGGAACTAGAAAAACGTAATTCACAGAGCTCCGTTCCAGTGAATTCCAACTGTCTTCTTATGGAATGTTCCACCACACACCAGTGTACAAGAAGGGATAACAGACCCTGATTGGCAATAGGATGGATGTTTTCGCAACGGACTGTTGTAGTGAGTCGTAAGTTTATCGTTTGTTTGCACTTTTGTTGAAGCAATAGGAAGTGTCATTAGTTCGAAAGGTTTTGGAGATTTTCACCTGTGGGTAGGTGACGGGAGTTATATCGCATCTTATGCAGCTATTATGAATTTTGAGATTGCGGGAAACTGGAATATAGGTCCCAAGACGTTATGAAGTATAACAGTTTTACATTTTCAAAGAGTAATGCAATGAATCTTAATAAGAAACGTGAACTGATAACTCTTCTTCCTCTGTTTTGCACTGAAGAAATGAAAATGAAGAGGTTAGCAGAAATGAGACATCTGCAAGAAATTAAGAACAGTATCGTTTGTTGATATCGTTTTGTCTAAAAAAGCAATGAGATTAAAACGGTAGTTTAATAGGGTTGTAATGGCTCGCTATTTGGATTCTAAATATATGAATTTTCAGTTTTGTCATGAATATGGGGGAGGTAGTACGAACTATAGATGTCGAGACGGATGTCCCTGATTTCAGTTCGCTAATGCTTAATCGAACTTCGTTGAACGCATTAGCTAAAGCTGGTTTCATCAAGCCATCTCCAGTACAAGCTCAAGCTATCCCATTTGGCATGCTTGGACTTGGTAGTTCATTTCGTGTGCAAAATTTTCTGTAGTAATAATAATTCTGTCAAGTTCCTAGACATTTCCACTTTTTCGCTTCAAAATTTGGCTGGAGATAATTAAAGCTCACTGCAGATTTGCTCGTACAAGCAAAATCCGGAACTGGAAAAACAATGGTTTTTTCTTTGTTGGCTGTAGAAAACCTGAATGCTCAGTTTGGGCGTCCACAAGTGTTGATCGTAGCTCCAACTCGTGAAATTGCTTCACAAATAGTCTCTTATATCAGAATGCTTGCTCCTTCTGTGATCCATGTGGGGTAATCTTTCTCACATAATTGCTTTTTTGACTAGTAAGTTACGCATCACGTAATTCTTGGGTTGTTATTAGGATGTTTGTTGGTGGAAATGAGAAGGGCGTTGCGGAAGATATTCAAAAACTCAGGAAAAGTATTCACATTGTTGTTGGAACAACAGGCCGTCTTTGCCATCTTGTTCGAATCAACGCATTGCGGTTATCCCATGTACGGTTGTTTGTTCTGGACGAGGCTGATAAGCTTATGGAAGACAGTTTTCAGAAAGAAATCAAGTTAGTTTGCTGAAACCAGTTGAAATTATCATGAAGTAAATAAAAATTGGAAAGATTTGTAATTTTTAGCTGTTGGACGATTTTGATTTTGTTGCATCAAATCACAAAGCGAGAGAACTGCAGCATTTCATTGTGTCTTTCTTGCCTGTTAAATATAATTTCATTTAGTTATCTGTTCTCTACACTGCCACCGGAAAAGCAAATAGCTGTGTTCTCAGCTACTTATCCATATAGGCTGGATACAACTCTTATGCACTACATGAGAGGTTTATTCATTACTTATTTTTATATAGTGAACAAAACTGGTCATTTATCACCAATCCATAATGTGCATTATGGTGACATACCCATTTATTAGGCGTGACCATAAATCTACCTCGATGCTGCAGTCAATACATTCCCCAGTTTGTTCACTGAATAGGCAGTGTTCCAGCAACGTCACTTTGATGAGCCTGTATTTCTGGGTTTCCTAAAAAATTTAGAATTATGTAATATTGTTTTTGGACTTTGAATATGATTCCAGTCATAACTTATTGTCATCCTACGGCATCAAAATCGAACTTTGGGAAGGATTTTGCAAAAAAAAATTTGAGCTGTGAAAATTTGATTTCTTGGTCTTCAATATGTTTCAGATTTCTTTATCGTTATTTCTTTTTTTAAGTCTTTTGTATCAGGATAATTATCCTACAGATGTACACCTGGTGCGTGTGGATAAAGATGCACAGTTACTTGGTGTCAAACAGTACGTGATTGTTGCTCGCAATGGAACCAGGAAAATGAACGTTTTGCTGCGCTTATTGGTTCACCTTCGTTATGGTCAATGTATCGTCTTTGTCAATGATCATAAAAATTGAGTTCTACAATGTATTTGTGATGTGCTTTCAAAAGAATTGAAAATAATGTAGTTAATATGTTTGTTGGTGGCATTTAAAAAGGAAAAAATTGCTGCATTGAAGCTTTATTTCAGATGTGAGGAGCTTTGTGCAGATTTACAACGAGCAAAATTTGATGCGGTTAGCATTTCTGGTAGTATGCCACAAACTGATCGTACAAAAGCGATACGGAGACTCAAAAACTGCTTAGTTAAATTACTCATTTCAACCGATCTTGTAAGTTTCTCAAATCATCGATCTTAAATGTTTCTTTTTCTGCGCAACCTCCTTTGCTATTTGGTCACAGTGCTTCACTTTTCATTTTTTTTTTTTTGACTTAATCACATAGTAACTTTTGCAGCTGGAGTTTTTCTGCAATTTATTGTTTTAGACAGCACGAGGAATTGATGCTCCAGGCGTCAATATTGTGGTCAACTATGGAAGTCCACTTATATTAGCCACTTATTTGCATCGAATTGGGCGTGCTGGACGTTTTGGTATTATCAAGTTTAAAGTTGCAAAAAATTATGTTGCAAATTTCATTGTAGTTTTGTTTTTGTCATAAATAAATATGTTAAATATATATTCTTTAGGTACACAAGGTGCTGCTTTTACAATTATCAATAGTGATAAAGAGCTGAAGTTGTTCAGTGATTTCGTTGTCGAGGGAAAACTTCGAACTAAGCTATTACGAGCAAGAGAGGAGTGGCCTAGCAATCTCATCTATGACGATGGATTTTTTAACAGTTCTGAAGACTTCCGTGTAAGTGTTGAATAAATTGGTATAGTTTCGTAATGCAAATGCGTTCTGTTTTTTCGGGATTGAGTTTACGTTCATTTGGAATTGAATTTACGTTCTCGTTATGTCTACTGATATAAGTGATGTCAAATACTGATTGTAACACTTCTCTTGTAGCCCTACACAACAAGGAATTGGCATAGTCAGCAAAGTTATGATGTTGAAAGGGGTGAGGGAAACGTATCCGAATTCATCGGGATTGGTTCAGACTTGCGAGAATGTGAAAAAGAATCTAATTTCTATGGAGACACGACCTCATTGCATCATAAGTCGGAGAAGCGCATCTATTCCAGTCAAGATTTTTACAACATATGTAGGAGTATGACGAATAATGAAATCCCTGATGTACTTTTAAAGAATTTGATTGCATTGAAGGTCATTTATTTATTCATTTCTTTGTAGATTTGAACTTGCCAGCAAGTGAACTGATTCAAATTAATTGCGAGATTGTAGCATAGAGTGGTTCTGCTTTGGCAGTAATAACTTTAGCATTCTCAAATGGATAAGGCTGTATTGGATTTGGTTAATAAAGAAAGAAACTGATAAGAGCTGTCGAAATTTTAACTATTAGGTACACTACGGGATATGAAACTTGCTAAATGAACTGTTTTTTGTGAGTTTTTTTGATGGCATACTCGTCATACTCCTACATGAGTTGTAACCGTAAAGCTTTTTTCAGATACGATCACCATATAACTTCGATTTAACGCGAAAAAATACTCTGATGGTGTTACGAGTGGGTACTGTAAATAAAAACAGTCAGAACATAAATAATCATGAAAAATCTTGTCACAAAAAACCTGTTTGCTTGCTAAATAACAAAACAGATCTCAATGTGGACATTAGCATACCAAAACATGGTATGAATTGCAGAAAGAAAAGGTATTTAAGGAATCAGATTCTTGCTATTCGAAATGTGTTGTGCGATGAGGAATGGTTGCGGTACGCCAGTCTTCGTTTCGGTTCAACTGTGCGATATGAACCGTTTTTGATTTGTAGATTTAATGAAGTAAGTTATGGAGTAAAATTGTTGAAATCACACTACTCGACATATACTATAGCCTTAATGAACAATATTATTCATTTAAAAAGGAGAAAATAAGGAAAATATGCATCAGGCAAAACTAAGTGGTTCAGCGACGGATTATGTTTGTTTTTCTGATTTCAAGACACTTGAATTTATCAGTCTTTCGAAATATGAACCAGATTTATTGAGTTTTAGCGTATCAAAACAGGGTTTTTAGCTTACGCCTAAATAGACTGTAAATTGAATTTTTTGATTTGGTCAAATAAGTTTCACTGAGCATTCGTTTTTCCGAGAATTTTCTTCAGGTAACACTGTTCGAAAAAGCCGTCTTTTATATAATTCTGTTTTTTCGTTACCGGATAGGATGCATTTTTAACATACATTGAACTGCATTTTTGAAGGCTGTGACTACAACTTCCTAAAATTCCAATCAGCAGTAGCGCTGTCGCCTTGTTTTCCTTTGAAAAAAAATTTCTGCACTGAAGAATATTAGAGGTTTAAGAAGTTTGAAATACTGCATGTATTTGACTTCCAGTTATATTTCTCAAACAAGGCGACGTATTTAGAGAATTGTGGAAAAAAATCTCTTTCTTCATTTGAATAATTTATATTTATGAATGATTTACTTAATTTACAGGGAATTCCAGTTGATCGATCGGACGAAAAATATGTGAGGAAACCCAGTTTGATAGGAAGTCATAATTTGGAAGAACTGAATCCAAAACGAGGCGAGGGACATCAGCGGAAAAAAGTTCTAATTCCATTTTTTTTTTTCAATTTTTGTTTTCTGTTCATTCCTTCTTTGTTCAGTTTCCAGCGAATAAACTTAGTAGTTAGAAATTATCATCCGACGTTCGTAATCCGACGTTCGAAATGTTTCATTCACTAATTTTCGTTTGTATATTTTGTACTATCGGAATTTATAATTTCATATTCATTGAGCTAAAAGCATTTAGAATGGTAAAAAATACGAAACCTCCGAAGAATTGAAAGCGAAACTTGCGAAGGTTAAGTCAAAGTTCAATTATGAGTTGGTTTTGGGATTGCGTAGAATGAAAGAATGTATGACAACAACCGAAGTAGCAGAAATGTAGGCTTTTTCTATGCCATTTCAGCCAAATTTTATTTTATACTTATTTTGCACCTGAAAAGGTTTGAAGAAATTTGAGGAATTCAACTTTTCTAAGTATGCTATATATTATTTTATTTTATAGTTCCAATCCTTCGTGTTTTGTGGTAGTTGAAATCCGTGCACAAATTACTGCGAGAATAATAATTCGATTATTCTATAGATGTTCCATGGCAAGCCAGATTGAACAGAGAAAACTGACTGAGACAAGTAGTACTCAAACTGATGGACAGTCATTTCATGAAGATAGAAGCGTTGATCGTTTGAATGATTATTGTTGCTCTGGGAGATATATGTGCAGAGAAATAGACCACTTTGCACGGTATATAAAACACATGCGTGGGTTCAAATTTTAAAAGCAATCAATAGTTTTATGTTAAGGTTTTGGTATTTTTATTGTTTGCAGTCTTCTTTGTTTTTGGAAATTATTGGTTGGAATGGCGTATGTGAAATTTTATTACAATGTTGTTTATAATGTTACTGAGAATATTATTTATAATATTTTCGAGACTATTATTCGTTTGGACTCTCCAGATTGTTGAAGTATGAGTTGGTTGAAAATGGGTTTTTTTCAGCTTTCTGGAAGTAGATACTACTGGAAATTGGTTCGAGCATATACACAAGTATAATTTCTAGTATAAATGTATTCCAAGTTTTCTTTATTTCACTTTAAACTGTGAAAAATCTCATGTATCTTTAATTTTAGTATGTTGGTTCTTGAAAGTGCATCACTGCTTCTTTGTAAATATTACTTAGTTGTATCGGAATTATATCTGAATCTAACTTCGCTGCAGTGCTGAAGTATTAAATGGATGGATCACTCAGTGTCATCTTTGGTTATCCTTACCAAAATTTTGTATAACTTTATGGATTGTTTCCTTTATTATTATTGATGTTTTCGAATCTGCAGAAATCACGAAGAATTTCATACCAAATGCCATAAGTTAAAATGACAAATTTTAAGGATTACCATCTGTGCTTCTATGAAGTCTGTGAAGTATTCTTCATTTGCCACCAAATTATACAGTATTTCAATTCAAAAGCCTCTGGTCCTAATTTTTTTAAACAGACGAGTAATTTTCACAATCCTGATATCACTGATAACTGTTTTGTTGGTTGGTATGTGCTAGCGCTGTTACTGCTAACCGAGTTTCCTGATGTTTTGTTATTGATTATACAGATCATCATGCGTATGCATAATCAAATGTTTTATAATGCTAATTTCAGGAATATTATTGCATTTCAGCTCCTCTTTTTGTTCCAGAATTTGAACTTGTAGTATTCATTACTTATGCAAATATCTGTGTAGTTTGAAATGCATATGGCATATTATATTATATGCGTTGATTTATGTTTTTTCTTTTTTTTCACTTATTACGTGTTACATTTGTGCTTTTCTTGCAGTTTATGGTGAATCTGTTTAATAGGACTTTTCGTAATGTTGTCATTGCTATAGAAAATTCTCTGTACATGTTTACCTACTGACGTTTCTATTAAGTTTATGCTGTTACGAATGAAATAGTACTGTTTACTGATTACATTTCTTAAGATAAAGTTTTTTTGTCCGGCAACATAATTCCAGATTTGAGCATAAAGTCGTAAATGAAAGATTGGTGTATAACTAGTTTCAAATTGAAGTGTCTGTGCTAGTGATAAAAAATAACTGCATGGGTAATGAATGCAACGGGAAGAACATCGTATGGTGTATCATTCAAGTATCACGGGATTGATTTTCCATAATGCGAAGTATATATATATGTAGTATAACAATTGAAAATATCAAGGTTCTTCCATCGGGTTAAGTGGGTCAGAACCTAAAGAATCGGATAGTGAAAATATAATTTTAGCCTTTATTATTCAGACTACGTTAAGTTTACATTGCTTTATTTAAAATTTCATGTATTTCATAACATCAGCTCTGATTCATCACATTAACTAGCATTATTTTGTTTGAAATTTATCTGCTTGACGAATTCGAAATTCCACTTTTCATCATATTGTAACCCTTCCTTTAAAAAACGCTTAGCAGATATGCCGTCGAAAACCTGAGTTCTCGACGGCATATCTGTTAAACAATTTTCTGCTGTAGCAGTTAGTTTTTATGGTGTATCATTTTGAAATGCATATGAGAGGAAGAAAAAAATAGTACTTAAAAATGCGAAGTAATTGATGATTTCAGTAAGCCACTAGGAATCAGACGCAGAGTTGAAGATTTTGATCCAAAACAACCAACGCAGGTGTTTCAACAAAAATAATGGCGAAGACACAACACAAACTGTTTAAAAGGAAAAATATTTCTGTTCAGAATGTACAAGTTTCTCAAGGACAAAAAAAATAAATTACCAGTGCTTATTAATTACTTTAATTTCTGAAACATTACTTGAGACTCATTTAATTTAAAAGTTTATTTTGTAATTCATCTAATAAAATTATTACTCATATGGTATTATGCATTAATTTTACGAATTAATAGTTCAAGAAGTTTTTATTTGTTCAACAACTGAAAAATGCAATAGTACAACTAAAAAACAACAACAATACGTTGGAATTCCCATGTGTTCCAAAAAAGAGTTTGCGGTAGGTTTGTTCATTGTAATTGGTGATCTGACGTAATTCATAGAAAGTAACTGATTAATTCCTATTGAACAGCTTATAGTTCTTTTATTAAAAACTGAATACTACAGACGAATTGCAAAGTTGTTCTGTCACACTTCGTTTTCATTTACTGATAGTCTGGGTAAAATAAAAACTTATGTGAAAAATCAACGCTATCTAATACATCGATTTTGAAAACATGAAGCTGTTCATTAATGATCACCAAAAAGTTCACTGAATATTTGAGTCTGTATGCCTAATATCATGCCATATTTATTTTTTATCATGACTTTATGAATCACTTCCGGAGAACGGCTTTGTTATTTATAATACTTCAGATACACAGTCACTTTCGAGAACTACGCCCTCGATCAAACATTGTTCAAATTAATGTTTTCCATACAATTATTTCTACCAATCAAACATTGTTCAAATTGGTGTTTTCCATACAATCGATTTTCGAATGATATAGGAAAGGTTACTTAACAGAATAAGCATAGGTTATAGCACAGCGCTATACTCTTTAAAAAGTTATCAAAATGACACTACTGAAAGCCTGCAATAGTTTTTAGCATACTTTTTCTTTTCCTCTCATAATCTATTCATACTTCATTAAGTTTTATTTAATTAATTTCCATTATTACTAAATATATAAAAACATAGATCTAATTATTAAGTGAGATTATATCACATCTCTTTTCCGAAAAAGTTAGTTCAAACTTTGCTTTATAAATTTATGAGATTTCACTACCAGTTATAGTAGGAAGTTAAATTAGTTTTAAGAAATCTGTTGAAAATCGAAATTCGCGTAAGTACTAAGCAAAAATCTGTGGTTACACTGAGATCATGTATGAAAATCTGAATTTCTCAGACAACAATGTTGCTTACCACCGAGGTCTCCTCTTAAATTCACCACCGCATTCTTTTCACTCCCACTTCGCCTTATTGACTTTTCTATCTTTTTCATCTTGTCCGCCATTACTCTGTAGACTTTCAACACTCCCTTGTAAAAAGTCAACTATAATTGTCACTCCCACAAGAAATTACGACTTACACCTCCTGCCTTTGCAGATTGCTTTTCTCACCGAAACTTCTGTAGCATCCACAAAGGATTTCTACTCGTTTTGAACAGTTTAAAGTTGTGTCAGATAACTGCTTTTTACAGAGTTCATTGCTGTTACTTACTATAAGTTTCCCTCTTCATGTGCCACTCTGCTTAACCCAGCCCCTAAGATTTAATTCTGTTCTAATTTTGAGGTTATTCGATTTTGACGTTAATTAGACCTCTCATAAGTGATGAGTAAATCTAATAAAAATCTGAAGTTGTACTAAATTGTATACGATCAAATCTGAATTCGTTTCAATCAGCAATACTGCTTACTATAAGTTTCCATATAAATTTGTTATTGCTCTCTTCCCACAATGTGAAGTTATTCAGTACTCGCTAACTACAGTTTCCTATTGCTATTAACCTGTGTATTGTTTACTTATCTAAGCTTTGCCATTCTACTTTTTCTCTCCACTCTGGAACGTATTACACCTGTCTTTTTGCTGGAGAAAATCTGGTTTCCTCGATGGAAAATATTACGAATACCGTGTTATAGGATATTTTTGGTTATTGGGTGAACTACAAGTTGTTTTTACAGAATAATGTAACTTCATAAATAAGTTTTTAAATAAGTTTTTATGTTTTTTTTTTTTTTTTTTTTTTTTTAGATAAGTTTTTTTAAAGCTTTTAAAATTGATATGTGAGGTAGGTAAAAGCAAATCATATGAAATGATTGATATTGAATATATTTTAATGCAGAGTGGATAGTGAAATCCGTTGACAACGAATAATAACAAACCACAAAATTTAACTGATATAATTCTATAAAATGTGAAGTTAATGTAATTTGCCTTATATCGGCAATCAAATACTCTGTTGGCCAACTTAAACACAAGAAAAAGAAGATTAGAAGAAAACACTTTACAAGTCAACTAGCTTGATGTGGTATTCATTTTTTTGATGTCCCAAATGTTTCTGAATTGATCTAAGATTATGCAGTGGTTGAATTTCTCTAAATCCTTTATAATTATTATTAAGACCTTTAGTCACAATGCGAGAAGTAATGTTCAAGATCGGTAAAGGATAGAACTGATGGAGGCGGAATTGCTAGGAATAAAGATCTGAATGGTCTTGCAACGACCTGTAAGGAATAAGAGTATCCTCATACAAGATTTCTATGATTTGAAAATGTAAAACTGGACTTCGAAAAGTAAAATGGCACATTACAAACTCCTTTATAGCAAAATCGGTTTTAAATTCAAGTCTGTACTTGTTTAGTGGAATTGTAGATAAGACCGTTTTATACAATTAAAAGTTATGCAGGATCTAATATATGCTCAACGATATTATATTGGGCGCACTATCCCCTATAATATTATCAATAAAGACTATTGATCAGATTATATTTTTGAATCCAACAGAGCACCGTGGCAAAAGAGCACCTCTTCGCTTCATATAAAACAATTTTGAAATTCCTGCATGTTGTAGAATGACATAACGCAATGTTTGATAATTTATTCATAGTTAACTGATGCTTGAGCTGTACTATATAACTAGTAAAAATTTATTCAAATTGATATCTAAAAAATTCGGAATTCGGAAATCTTTTGGCAAAATGATTGCTTTGTGACCATTAAAATTGGGTTATTTTTCTTTATTTAGTAGTGCATTTTTCTTTTCCTTATGTACAAATGTATATTTTACTAATCCGTGCATGGTTTTGGATGTGATATTTTAAGGGAGATCATATTTACCAGATCATATTTTTAAATCTTCTATAGTAATGTTCATCGGCTTCAAGGGTTAAGTAAATTTAATAGGTTCCCTTTTCTCTCGCTTCCCTTCTCTCTCTAATTCTTCATCCTTACATTAGTTTTTCGTAACCAAATTTTGTTTCAAGTAATTTTTAGAGCAAATTAATGCGAGAATTTCAGAAACTGCTGTCTAGCCAACCATGAAGTATTTGATAAATCTAGCCTCATCGGACGTCTTAACTCGATTAATTCGATGTGGTAGACCGTTGTTACTACCTTCGAAACTAGCCGGATGCTGTCTGCACGCAGTTGCTACTACACCTGCTGTGTTCTCCTTTAAGGTATGCATCGTTTAACTTGTTAATTAAGAAAATAGCAACTTAAGTTCATGAACAAGGAATATTTCTTCATCGGCGAATGCAACCAGCTGAAACAGTTTAGCACCGTGATTTGGAAGTTATCAAAGTAAGACGGGAGCGAATGCAGCAGAAACCAGAACCGGAAAGTGAACTGCTATTTGGTCATCAATTTTCAGATCATATGCTTGAGGTACATTTCAGGACTAATTTTATTAGGAAAAGTTTTAAATCTCATTTCTAATGATGCAACATAACTATATCAATTTGAGGGGAATTAAAATATTTGTATGTTTTTAAATAACGATTGTAGATAGAATGGACAGCAAAGAAAGGTTGGTCTCGACCTCTAATATGTCCAATTCATGACTTAGTAGTGCATCCCGCTGCAAAGGTTAGCATTTTCGATGTGAGAGTTGCAATTACGGATTCTGGGTATTAGTAATTCTGTAATGTGAAGTCCGTTTCTGAGCTGCTTTCCAGAGAAATTCAGAAGAAACGAATGAAAGATATGAAGTTCAAGAAATAATAGTAGTGGAGAGTAGTTACAACTTCGACTTTTTCTAGGTTTTCCACTATGCAGTTGAATTGTTCGAAGGTATGAAAGCATATAGATGTGATGACGATAAAATTAATTTGTTCCGTCCGGAAAAAAACATGGAGCGCATGTGCCGTTCCGCAGCTCGAGCTGCTCTGCCGGTCTCTTATTTGCACTTTTCTTTTCTCAAGCTCTACAGCTTGTTAAGCTTAGAAAAAGTTTTTTTTTAGAGCTAAGTTCAAGAGTAACATGAATTTTTAACTTCTTTTAAAAAAGAGAATTGTTGAGATAAAAATCAAATATAGCGCCTCTCTGAAAATTATTGATGTTACTGAAGAAATTTAATTAAACCGTGCTTGCAAAAAGCATTCTCGCAAATAGTGCAGCTTCGAACAATTAATTTTTTACCACAAAACTCCATTATTTCAAACTAGGTCGGTAGCAGTATTTAAAGTGATATCCCAAAGGAAATCAAAAGATTGCAATCACTGAAGTGAAAAACTTCAGTAAATTAAAATATGCGAGATCGCTTTTACATGGGGAACAAGAAAAATTTTCAAATCCAATATAAAAATTTTTATTTTTTTGAAATCTTTCTCTAAGAAATAAAAGTGGAAATATTTTCAGACATTCGACAAAAATGAATTGAAAAAACTTATTTGTGAACTAGTAACTATTGATGCAGCTTGGGTACCTAAGTCACCCGGTTCACTTTACATTCGTCCAACGATTATCGCTACTGAGGTTTTGTGTTGTTTTATTACTGATAATAATAGATGGAGTAGTCATTGAGAATGATCGCTATTAATTTAATTTTCAATAAAGAAGAGATCAGTTCATTCTGAAAAATGTTTTTAAGCCAACTCTTGGTTTATCACATGCAGAGCAAGCTTTACTTTTCGTATTAACTGGTCCAGTTGGACAATACTACTCGACTGGATTCAAGCCTGTTTCATTGTATGCTGATCCATCCTTCTGCCGATCATTTCTTGGTGGTGTTGGGCAATATAAAATGGGCTGGTAAGGCACTGATTTTAGGACTATAATTGTGGTTGTCTATTTGCTATTGTTTATCCTGCTGAAAACCACTGCAAACGAATTAAATAGCATTTTCTGGTAAAAACTTTGACAGTTTTGCCTTAAAGGAACATTTTTCTCCTAAACATTTTAGTAATTATGCGCCAACGATACTAGTCAGTAAAACAGCGGCTTCGAAAAATTGTCAACAGGTACTGTGGTTATATGGTGAAGAACAGTGGATCACAGAAGTAGGAGCAATGAACATCTTCATCTATTGGAAAAATGAACAAGGAGGTTATATGCTCCTTCTCAATGAATTTAAAAATGTATTCTAAATCTGTGTAAAAAGTTAGAACTCAAAATTTCCTTGGTGTTCTTTCTTTTCACCTCAAATCAAAAATTTTTAGATGACGAATTAGTAACAGCACCACTATACGATGGGATAATATTACCAGGTGTTACCAGAGATAGCATTTTGCATTTGGGAAGACAGATACATGATATTAAAGTTACCGAACGTTATGTTCAAATGGGAGAAATACGACGAGCCATCAAAGAGGAAAGGGTAGGCTCGGCTTCTTTTACAAAAGACAGAAGAAAAAATATCATTTGCTTGTTTATGAACCGCAGTATTTCCCAACTAAAGAAGAAAATTGACTGAGATTTCAAAAGTCAGAATTTAAATTTCTTTACACTTAATTTGCTCGGTTACCTAAAGATGCTTTGGCAAAACAAAAATAAGTATATTTCGACTTCAAAATTTCAAATCCTTGAGACATGAAAGTGAAAAAAAAGAAAATAACATTGCAGATGTACGAAATGTTTGGCACCGGTACAGCATGTGTTGTTTCTCCAGTAGATCGAATTTTATATAAAAATCCCTGTACAGGAGATTTCGAGGAAATGATTATACCAACGATAACCCACAAGCCCAACCTTATGCAGAAACTTTACCAAACAGTGGTTGACATACAGGTTATTACTTCCTTATTCGGAAAAACGCTGCTTATTTAATTTATTTGCTTTCATAAAATTTAATGATGCAACAATGGTCTCATTTTTTTGTTCAATGATTTTTGATATTATTTGACTTGCTAAATGCTCATTACAGTATGGGAAGATAAAGAAGCCAGAATGGACGATGGAAGTTACCTCATTTTCACAGTCAACTATGTCCACTTCTTGAAGATTTAACTGAATTAAAAAAATTAAAAGATTTGAATTTATATAATACTCAATGCATCCCACATATTGTATCTTCTGCATGTCATAATTCCTCAATTTATTTTCATAAACCTATGTTAATGTATCTTCAGCATCTATTCCAGATTTTATGAATCGATTTTCTTTCATCTGTTTATACTGCAAATAGTAAAATCAAAAAAGAAGCATTTACAAACTGCAACTTTAAATTGATAACCAGAATGTTTGGAAATGAAATCATTTTTTTCCTGCAATCATTTGGTACAATTTCTGATTCTATGATGGACTTCTTTTCGCTTTCAGTATTTGAATAAGTCATTCTGTAGTGGATCATGCTGTAAATTCCAATTATATAAAAGTTCATAGTTGGACATAAGGAAAGGACGTGATAAATGCACATTCTTATACCTACATTTTAATAAACCCGAAATAAATTCACCAATACCACATATTTATATTAAGTACTATGCTAAAATATATCCAAACTTACATAAGTAGCATTAAAATGCTTGATCCTAACAACGATTGGGCTGAACGTGGCAAGTCTTTGGTGTTTCTTGAAACTTATTATTACCGAATGTCCAGGAATACCGTACACTTCAAGGAATTCAGTCTTATTAAAGTCGAGAAGCACTTCCGCTGTCAACTAAAATATTTTTTGTAAATAAACTGTTTGATTAATTAAATTTCTAGAAAACTATAGAAGGGTTGGAATATTTCTGCTACTGTATTTTTCATGATGTTTATTCTAGAAAATTATAAAACAACTGCCACTCGAATAATGATGCGCAACTAACCGTTGGCGTATAATATACAGAGGACAATGTAACGGTATCATTGATCGGAAATTGAAGGAAAAATGCGTAAAGTTTAGAATGTTCCATATGCGATACCCAAACTGTATCACGTCTCACTCTTGGTGAACTTATTGTATACCTTTAGAAATTAATGATCAGTCACTGAACATCAATATAGCACTCCTATAGAATTGTAAGCCTTATAAATGCTTACCAAATATAGAGAGAATCATTCTGATACATCCATGGGTAAGTGTTAAAAATGGCTTCCTGATTTCGTTTTACCCATTTACCAAGCTCACGCAGTCGATCCTCAAAAATAGGCGCTATCATCCCAGATTTATCTGGACCAACATTTAACAGCAAGTTTCCATTGCAAGCAATAGTCCTCACTAGCTGACTAATGAGGTATAACACCGTGTTTACGTCTTCACTCTAAATTTATTAAACGTTGAGAGTTTCCTACAATTTCTTCAGCAAAGCTCCACCGTTATTACAAAGTTTGAGGACACTCTTCCAAGATTTTTTATCTTTCTTATTTCCCATTTTTCCTTTTATCTTACTGAATAAATCATATATTTTTGATTAGCTAAATGTATATTCTCGTCATTTTGCTGAACAAAGATAAGTCCTAAATATTAATAATTAATATCACTAAATTTTGCTAATAACATAACTGTCAACTAAATTTTGGTAATAACATAACTTACTCGCATATTCCGCCGATATCCCCATGATTTCTTATCAAGTGTAAGACAATTTTCCCATTTCCGTCTTAACAAATAACCTGAAACAAGTCTACCTTTCTCCTGGAATAATTCTACCTCAAAATTTACAATTAGATTTGTGAATATAAATCTTTAAGCATATAACTTCTATAAAAATTTACTGTACTTCGTTACGATCGTTATAAAATTTATAAAATTTACTTTATCGTTATAAAATCTACTGTATTCAGCAGCTCTGAAAGAAAGAAACCTGGATCAAAGTGATCTGAATATGTTAAGAAACCTCCATGTTTACCGGATATGCCTTTTCCCCATCGATCATTCACAACTACTGTATTTCTTACTGGACTGAAAACCATAATTTCAATTAACAATGATAGCGGAAGACAAAAAGCTCATTTTGAGATCATAGGTAATTTCCATTTTATTTAATTGAACAGAAAAAAAGAAAAAAGGAAAACGTATAATTGCTACACTTTGCTAATGAAAAGCACTTGTCTTCATCACTAAATCATTAACCTTGAATTGTAAAGCCATGCAATAAATTCTTTTGACTTCCAGTAATCATCACTCATTTCCCAATCTCCATCACTCCAAATTATTTCAGGCTCATACTTTCTCACTATTTCCAACATTTGTGGATACGACACATACTATAACTGTGTTTTTCAATTAGATGATTACCAAGAAGTTTCTACTGATTTCTTATACTGTTATAAATGTAAAACAGAAACTAGCCTTTACATAATTATCAGTGTTGTATTTGCGATCATTAATGTAATAGCGATTAAACCATTCATATTGAGAAAAATAAAGACCGAAATGAACTTTGGATTCTACGAATGCATTCTTTAATTCACCTGTAGGTAAACGTAGAAAGCAAAAATTACACAATGTCATTTAGCTAGTAAACATAGTCGTAATAAGAAGAATTGAAAAGACACAAATCAAAAAAAAAAGGGTAATCCATTTTTACATATTCTAATCAATATAAAAAAAATACAAAATATAAATAGTTGTAACTTTCAACAAAAAAGGATTCAAACTAAGACATCCTAAGGAAACACTTAAAAATTAAATAAGCAGATACCATACCAACGATATCTCGATGTGGACCAACATCGACTGAGTTCCAATTCCAGGAAGTTGTACTTGGCCACATTGTAAAGCCTTCATGATGCTTGCTTGTGAACACAAAATATCTTCAAACTAACTGTTTTTTACATAGTTTTTTATATAGTGGAACTGCAATACAATTTGCAGCATGTCAGATTGGTAAAAGTTATGTTGATAGAGAAAAAATTAACCTTGCACTGGATGCTTCCACGATATCTCGAAATATAGAAGCATTGAAGTGTTCCGCTGTGAACTGAAAATTTGCGAATTTTCTGTTTACCTTCTGTAAAATTTCCAAATCCTCCACTATATCAGGAAAGTGAAAAAAAGAAATGATTTTTAAATGTATATTTCCAATAACCTTCCTTAAAAACAGAAATATATGAAATGTTCCCGAACATTCCTACTCATTAATCAGGTTGCATTAGGGGTATTCAAATTAAACGTACATCTTGAGCAAAATCGGCATAAGTGACACTGGGTTTGTAATATTTGCTTACATACTGGATAACATCTGAACTATTTGATACTTTCCAAGCGTACCACATCCATTCCGAACTGGAAGCATCCTTATGCTTTCATTAAACACTGTATTCAACAATATAAGAAATATTTGTAAATTAATGAAAGTCATATAATCACTTACTGAATTGCTGGTACTGAATAAACTCCCCAGTGACAAAATATACCAAGTTTGGCATTTTGATACCATTGTGGCACCGGTCTCGAATCAATTGAATCCCAAGTTGGCTGAAATGTTTAATCCATATATTTACTAAATTACAGAAAACAATGCAATAATTTGATCAAATATTAAACATAATGATGTTACCGGAAATTTAAAATTTAAAATGATATCAATAAAAATTGCAAGGAAAAGTTCTCTAAATAATAAATAAAAATGAGCGAAGAATATGCTCTACTTCTAAAAATTATATGCTAATTTCTTCTCTTTCGAAGAAATCCTCATTACAATTATTATCAGAAGTATACATTGCCTACCAAATAACTTTCCCCTTGTATCCATTGTATAGCATCAATGTTAATTATGAGAACAAAAACTTTCCATATAACAGTATCCATCACTACTGCTGGCTGTTTAAACTCCTTCGCTTTCATTGTTGGCAACCAAACATTTGTGTAGCAGAAGATTCGCGAAGATCCCAGTCTCAAATACCACACATCAGATAATTCGTTTTTGAAATTGCAGTATGGACGATTCTTCTAATTAGAACCACTAGATGAATAGTTTCCCACTTCCTTACTTATTACTTCAAACCCAGATTTTTCAGAACGCTATTATTTTTTCTGGAGTTCATTGGCAATGAAGTCTCTTTGTTATTACCAATTCCATATTAATTTCTGGAAAGGAACAATACCTACAACAGCTAGAGAATATAAGTGAATTCGTGTTGAATCCCGGCTTTATCAAACCACCTTCTTTTCCCACTGTTTACATCGTCTTACAATACCTCAAGTATTATCTCTGAGGCATACTTAACTTCATAATCATCCTATAAACCTCTCGATACTCATTATGCCGTACACACTTTTCTAAGAATCTTTCTGTAATGCATTACGAAAAGAAAATGAAAATTCGACAATTAGTCAAAAAGTGTACACCTAAATGTTTATCTATTTCTATTGGATTACTCTGGCTAAACAGTACTCATGAAACTGGATCGTCCAATACACATTATTAATGTATGACGTATTGGTACTCTAAAGCAGCCTTCATAATTCACACTAAATTCATCTACGCAATATCCAAAAACAAGAATAAATAGCTGATTTCACTGTATGCCCCTAGGAGCTGAGACACACAAAAGTACTAAAATCAAAACGATAAAAAAAATACTATTTATAATCGTTTACATTTTTCACATATACAAAAAGAAAAAAGTAACTTAAGCAGGATGTGGTCTAAAACTAGAAGAGTCAAAGTTTAAAACAATCTTGAAATGGATTAAATAAAATTACTTCAATATTTCAGTACCCGCCCGAAATAACCTAGCTAGACAGCGTAAAACAAATACACCGAAGAAAAAAAAATCAAAAAAAAAAAGAAACAAGAGAAAGGCAAAAAAGATAGAAATTCGAAAACACTGTTTTGCACATTTCAAAAGCCAATAACATTATGAATTACATCAAAGAACACTAAGTTTACGGCTTAAATTCCGCTATTTTTCATATAACACATTATATTGATATACTATATTGAACAGTGTCACATTTACTTTACAAAATTTATGTTGCCTTTTACAGTTGGTCGAGGTAGGGTATTTGATAAATATTTCCATAAGAAGCAAGCGTTAATTTCGATTTCATTTGATCTGCTGCCTGTAGTAAAAAAAATAAGCGTTTGTTTGACAAAGTTGATAAACTAGAAGCGATAGAAACAACATATTGATATATTATATTGATTTATATTGATTTTCGCAAAAAATAGTAAAAGGAAATTTCGAAGTCTGTAGTGAGTTCCCATTTTTTAACAGAAATTTTATCACAAGCAATGCATAGCTAAAATTCTGCTTTATGCCAACCTTTGTAATGTCGGCCATAGTGATGGAAGCTACTTCTCGTAATAAATCCGAGACAGTCTCTGCTTCACCAGTTGCAAGAATCTGTGCAGCGCGATCTACTGCCATGTTTTCAGCTGATTCGGCTCGGTTTAGAATGTTCATTGCAGCCATATTCCTAAATCAGTTATCAAACGCTGGGGAAAAAATTCATTGCTGTAGAAGAAACTCCATCATGAAAATGTAAAATATATTGAGAAGCGAGCAGAAATAGCGAAAGAAAAGGAAGAACATTAACTTCGAGGCTTGGAATGCAGAATCATCGATTGTGAATGATTTTAAGGCTTTTATTACTGCATCACAAAGGCGGCCGATGTGATCTGCTTCGGAAACGATATAAATACCAGCCAGTCCTTGATCTGCATATACTTCTGATATGGCCGACATGCCGAACGGATACCCGCATGAGGCCTTCTGAAAAAATCATGGATTTTGTGTCTCTTCAACTGATACAAACAGTGATAATATTGATCACCAATTCTTGGTATTCTTAAGCAAAAACACAAATGGATACAGGAAACAAATTTTGAGAAAATCTATATGTGTAACCTACAAAGGCTGCTTTTGCTAATGCGCCCTGTCCAACACCTGCAGCATACTTTGCTACAGCACCCTGACCAATAGCAGCACTCAGAATTGCTTGTACGGCTAAACCCTGAAATCCATGATTCTGAATGCATTTGATTCCAGAATCCCCCAATGAAGACATGCATGTGAAGTCATACAAAATACAAATACACAGAGATAAAATGCATAACTCGATTATGTTTTGAGTATTATTAGTAGTTCGAGTTACTCTTAAATAATAAAGAAAAAGTATAGTGAAGTTGATGCCTCCTAAATGATTACCTTGCGACTTTTCAAAGAAGCTCCTCTGCCAGCAATCGCAACATGAGCTTCCTTCATTAAATTTTTGTGACGTTTCTCTCCACCACAATATGGAGACGGTTTTGGTAAAATTGAACTTCCTTCAGGCAAGGTGAATTGACTGCTCGCATAATCTAATATTTGGTCATGTGGAATGTTCACTCCCACAAGTACAGCGTTACCAGTCACCATTTGTGAAGCCTGAAAAAAGTATCGAGAATAAAACCCTAACATCAGCGAATTTTCACAAAATACAGCAAATGATCAGTCTCATGCAAGAAGGCGTTCCGCTGAGTATACGAAAAACATATTGCAAATTTCTCCATTTTGCAATGACTGAATTTGCCAACAGTTTCCTCTTTTGCGTATAAATAATTTCCAAGAGAACCACTTCGAAATGCTGCCTAAAAACCAATAAATATCATTTTATTTATAACTGCATAACATAAAACATTAAAGATTTTTCCGACCAGATTTTAATAAAGAATACAACACCAATAAAATCGATAACCAAAATATTACGTCATGTAAATCCTCCAGAAGCAAATCGTACGCCTTAAGATAATTACGATCAATCCTTAATGTCGCGTTACAGTGTTCAACGTCCCATGGTTTAAATGCTGGTTGAGCCAATTCTCCTAATAAAGATAATCCTACTGGTGCGCGATCTCTAATCACTGACATTTGCACTGCAAGCAAATCGCGTGTCATCATTCCATTCTGAAATAATGTTAGATTTCTGCAAATTCCATGTAAGAATTAATAAAATAGATTATGTGTAGATTTCATTATAAATAATGTCATTTCTTCACCTGAACATGGATGTAGATGGGTGTGACAACAAGAACTTTTATTCAATATTTATCAAACTCACCACAGTAGCACCAGCGGAACCGCACTGCCAAAGCAACTGTGCACCATAATACCTTTGAGAATCACCTCCAATGCAATTCCTAATATGATGAACCAAACCTGCCTCATTAGGCATTTCATATCGAGTTCCAGCTCGATAAGCTACTACTAACTGAGTAACTGGGCCACCAAGATCCACAGAAGCAACTGTCAATCCATTTGGCAAGCGCGATATCTTAAATAAGTCCACTAATACATGTCAACTTAGTCATTAATATTATTGCATTGAAAACAAATGTACCTTCTCTTCTGCGACACTGATAGCGTTTCGAGCAGATACACTGATAGATGAAAATTGTTTCTGAAATCATAATGCAAATATGAATTAAAGTCTCAAAATGACTAATAATCAGATTCAGTTCAAAGACTGACATTAGAATGGATGGTAGATTTGATAGGTAAAGACCTGAATCTTGATTTTTTCTTTTGGCATTACACTACTTGATTTGTAATAGTGCTAAAGAGCAAACTGTATAAATAGGTTTCCTGCATTTGTATCATTTCTTATAGAATGAAAAGAGTAACTTACAGAAACCGTATACCACTGACGAGAAAGCATCACGGTTTTTGCCCCACACGAAGTTTGAAGCAGCAAGGTTTAAAAGATCTAAAAAAGTCAGGAAATTTGAGAAATTTTAAATTATATAGTGTCATTTAACTCACTAAATCATGAAACTGCAAAGGGAGCAAAAGCAAAATAAAAACTATAACACAAAAATATCCTCCCATTAACAGTATTGCTTTAAACAAAGTTGTCGAATACTAACATCCCGATCAACTGATAGCATTATTTTTGCATGCAACGAGAATGAAACAAACAGTAGTGGTGAAGGTTTGCAACTGTAAGGGGGGAGGTGAGGTTTCAGGTGATAAGGGTGGACGGTAATCGAGTTCAAGCGTAGCTAATCAGATTGCTAACATTCTTGAGTTTTCTGTCGTAGGGAAACAAAGAAATATTGTAAGAAGTGGTTGAGGATGAGAATGAGAAGATTGGTAGGAATGATAAGTGAAGCATTGTATAGAAGAGACTGGGTGTGTAGTGTACACTTGGTAATCGTACTATTTTATACTGGTTTGAATACAATTTTATTTTTAAAATGACATTTTTGGAAGTTTAAGATGGTTTGAGGATATTATCCGATTTTCCTGTTACTGCGTTAGACATATATTCTCTCTTCGGCTGTGTTAAATTAAAGTTGTACTATGAGTATCCAAAAATGGCCTTGTACTACTATACCGTAAGCCAGATGTTTTTGTATATATTGCAGATTTATGAACATAAACGAAATAATCCTCAAACAACGGAAGATTGATTTTGTAGAGTGTATCGAACAAGTAAATAGGCGGAAAGGCTTTATAATGGGATTCCAGTGGTTTTTTTTGTTGTTGTTGTTCTCTTTTGTGTGTGATTGGCTGTTTACAAGTGGCGATGATAGTTTAAAAGAAATTAATGGTGAGAAAGTCATTTTCCATGTAAAATTTTCAACTATGGTTTTCACGATTTTTTTTTTTACACCATGTATATACATCTACCTAATAATATTTTTTAGATACCAAACTGCTTGGTCCAGTGATCCAAAAGAACAGAGTGGCTGAAGCAGTCGTTACATGGATTGCAACTACTACTGAAAATGTGAAAATTGTTCTCCACAAAATTTTTTCAATCAGAAACAATATCAGTTTTATTTTGAGTTTTATTAGAAAATTCATTTCTAATTTTTCAAGCATTAAGTAGGTTTCTTTTGCTCAGAATACGAGCAACATGGCTGTAACATCACAAGCACCATTGCAGCATGTTGCATCATCGATAGCAGTAACATGGATAGCGCAGGTGGTACCTGCACAAGCACTAGCGCGACAAGTTATTCTTACCTCAACCGTTCGACAACAGCTGAAACAAGAACGTCATGGCATACAAACCTCAATTGAGTTTGCAGCTCGTTTGTCGCGACTTCAAGTTAATACTTATTTTTTAAATTAATGTTTCCATGGTCACAATTGCTAAGGAATAGCAAAGAATATGTATAATATTCTATTATAGAACAGTAGTCGAATCAATGAAGACTTCAAAAAAGAAGAAAACCTCAGTGTTTTACCAAGAAACAAAATGGAAGTAAAAACGGTGATTTAAGTCATTTCAAATTTCAGCATCAAATTAACTTAAATACTGATAGCAGGAGTTTCTATGTTTCTATTCGACTGTGTTTTACATTGCCATTTTCTGTTTTTGATAGTTGCTGTTCTTTTGAGTGGTTTTGCTACAATTTAGGCATTTAACGCATTTGATGAGTTTGATGAAGCAGAAGACACTCATTTTCTTTATTACATTGCTGTATTTTGTGCTATTATTGTTTGCGTATACGTTGCATCACACAACAAAAACAAGATTCTTGGTAAATTTCTTCTTTATTTCTTTATTAGAAAACGTTGCATTTTCTTTCGAAACAATCCACAAAATATTAGTCACCTTAAGATAATGTTTCGATAGGTATTTGCTTGATTTGTAGCCTTTTTTGACCTTGTGGAGCTGTATTTTTAGGTTTCATTATTGAAGGGCGTAGGCCTTCAAACAGTGCAAGACGAACAACTCTTCGTTATAAACGTTTGAGCCAGCATGATCATAGTGGCTCCGATCTACAAATGTGACTTATTAATATTTGTATTAATTAACAAATTTGTTTAAAAAAATCTCCATAAAATTTTAGATAATTCGCGTTTTTTTTTTGAGCTGTCTAAAGTCCATTTTAAAAGCCGCATGATACAATTCCTTTTGTCTTGCTGGTGCTGACATTTCAGATTGCATTGTTTATGCCATTTAGAAGCTTTTATTGTGCATTAAAGGTTTAGTGGTAGGGACTTTATCTATGTTCTGACCTTTTTGGACTAGTGTTTTCCTTAATTTAATAATATTTGCTCAAAGCAGGCTTCAGTTAAATTATTCTTCATTGCTTTGTAGTTTATGCTGTGAGATCTCAGTTGAATTTATTTTTATCCTTCCAATGGTATTTCAGTCAGTTCTATCTTTCACTGACTTTCGTTTGCCCTCAGGTTTCATATTCATCAATACTCGATTATTTTCGACATAATCATGCTTTTTTACTCCTTTTGAAAGACTACGACTATAGTGTTTTGTAAAAAATCAGTTTCTTGTGGAAATTCATCCTTTTGTATATAACGTTGCTAATTTGCAAAAAGATATCAGATCTTACCATTCACTGTAGCTAATTTTAAGAATAATATGTAAACAGGAAAAAATGAATTGAAAGAAGGTATTCTGTTGCATTGTTTTTCTCACTTTAAAAAAAAATTATATTTAATAAATATTTTAAAGATATTGCGTACTGAGAATAACTGTTTTGAGTTGTGAGTTGCAAATTACTTGTTGAGTGTCTCTATTTACGAAGTGTACGGAATGATGCTAAGCAGTTATTAGGGATTTTTTTTTTATTCTGTTACCGGTTTTACGTCGGAGAGTTAGTCATTGAATGACTTACAGGATCGTTTGGTGATTTGGTACAATTAATCAATTAAAATGCATTCAGCGCTCCGTTAGAGTGACTTAGCTTATTTAGTTGTTATGAATAAAATTTATAAGAAAAGCCAGGTCGTTCCACAAGCTGTTTATATTAGCCTAGCAAATTTCCAAGTGTAGATCATGATGCATGTTTCCACTTACAAAATTTATTTTGGAAATGGATTATTTCCCTGGAGCAGTATCGGCTTTTCTTGTAAGAGAGGGGATGACACTAAAAAGCGGAAACGAAAGAAAGGAACTGAATCAAGGAATGATGAGTCAGTGGTTTTGTTCAAGAAATCTGTCACTAAATCTCACGTAAGCCTATTACGTTTCAGAATCTGAGGGTCACTGCTCGAAGATAGTAATGTAAAAAAGCGAATGGAAATATTTTTTGCAAATCATGAAACTCTTAGTCTTACTTTACTTTATTCCTTACTTCTAATTTGTTCTTTACTTCTTCACTTTTCTAATTATTTACAGCGTTTTGAATTGTCCACTGGTGAAAAGAAGTTGCAGCCGAAGTCAGCAGGATTCAATGGAACTGATTGTCTCATATCAGAAAGTGTACGTCGGGAGTCAAGTTTTTAGTGGGATTTATTATCTTAGCTTATATTGTTAAAATTTTTGGAACGATAAAGACCATGAAGAGATTTTTATATGTATTTTAAGTGAGATGAAAATTCAAAAGGGAGAAACAATAGCGAAAGAAGAAACTAGAACTATATTTGTTGGAAATGCGCCATTGTCAAGCACTAGGAGAGGAATCAAAAATTGTTTCCGCAGTTCGGTACTGTAGAGAGTGTACGCCTTCGTTGTTTCGCTGCTTCTAATAAAAAAATTACGAAAAAGGTCATATTTAATTTCAAAAGGGAACATTTCCAGAAAAAGTAAAAAGGATTTTTAGTTTAAAAAAAAAAAAAAAAGAGAAAAAGTAAAAAAAAGCATTTCCAGAAAATCTGAAGTATTTTCATTTTGCTAATCATTTTATTTTTACGACCATACATGTGGTGTAAGAATACTACATTTAAAGCGCGACATTCCGAGTGGCGTGCGGTCGCTAACCTTTCATGTCAAATTTAAAGGTGCGAAATCGATAGAAGCAGGTTTGGCGTTGTAAGTGAACTTCATTTTGAATGTTGGCTAAAATTTTTTGTTGGTGCAGTCATTTGGATGATAGTAGATTCATCGATGAATTAATGGTTATTTTACTAGGAATGGCGAGAAATATGACGGAAATATGTTACGAGTAGATAGTTTTTGCGCAAAAAAAAAAAAAAAAAATACAGTTGCCGAACAACATTTTTGTCGGTAATCTACCTTATGATATGTCCGAAAACGAGCTCATTGCACATTTTGAAACGGTTTTGTTTTTACACCAAAATAGATTAGGTCATTTTGAATGGTTTAGTTTCTAGCAATCACAGTCTTTTATTCACATCTTGACTGGTTTACATTTCATCGTTGTCCCGTCTATTATGAAAGGATTTCAGTCTAAAAATGTTTCTTTCGTGAGAATAGTTCGGGACCCGAAGACTGATAATAGTAAAGGTTTTGCTTTTGTGGCATTCAAGGAGAATGCAGCCATACCACTTGCACTACAGCTTGATGGATCGATCTTCAAAAGCCGTCCATTGCGTGTCAAAAGAGTACAGAGCAAGGTAGGTTAGACGTAAGCTTAGATAAGTATTTTTTATGATTGTATACTATGTGATTTTTGCGATATATTTTCCACCAGTACTTGTACTGGTGGAAAATATTGTTTAGAATTATTCTCTGTGAATGACTTCTCTAAAATAATTGCAGACAAGAAGTCATCAGCATTCGCTGAGAAATATTGCGAAACAACGTACTGATCACATGCTAAGAACGTAGACATCAGAAAGAAAGTTCATTTTGATAAAAACGTAGACAGCATATCAAGAAAGAAAGTTCACAAAGTTGATAAAAGGGGAGTTAAAAACAGTATTATGACCTAATTGCTTTTTGTGCTGCAAACTATAAATGTGTTTCATTCATGTTTGTTAGTCCTACAATCTTCCATATTATGTCTGGAGTGGGTTATTTCCTCAAACTGCATTTACCTCTTTCTCCGCATACAAATCTGAAGTTTAAATTGAGTAGCACGATCAACAGGTAAATGCCAATAACAAGCAACATTGCTAACAACACTTTTTTAAAAAGAAATTCATTCTGGAAATTAAACTCTGGAATAAATGGTTATATTTTTTACATGATCTTTCAGTCAAGATTCAATTTAATTCAGTAATAGGATAACCTTTTAGAGAAACATTTTCAAAAAATGACGAAAGTTGAGCTGAATTTATTGGATTCACGATCAGGGAAGTTAATAGAAAATTTGAGGAATATTTTGAAACAAAGAACAATCACCATAGAAAACAACCCGTTGGAATAAAAAGCCAATTTTGTTACATTATAAATTCAAAATTGACAAACAGACAATCACTTTGATATTTTCCGACCTTACGTGCTTTAAAATGTTATTGAAATGCGAAGGTAGCTCAGGTCGGAAAATACAAAGTAAATATCAAAACATACCGGATATTGAATACATGAAGTATGGATCTCAAAAGTTGAAAAGTAAAGCATTAAGCTTTATTTGTTTTAGAAGTATTAGTATAGTAAATCCTGAGACCATCACAGATGCAGCACACACTAATCTTTAAGTTTGACTCAACCTCATCACAATATTCCTCCTTTTTTTTTTAACTCATGTTTTTCATGGTTACAAATTTCAGTTACAGCAACTGAAATTTGTGCAATTTTTCCAATATATTCTTTGATTGTTGAATCAATTCATAATTGTTTGAATGCTGTAAATAATGTAGCATTTTGGAAAAAAGAATTCTGACACATACCACGCATCAAACTTGGCGGAGTCGAAACCTCATATTATCACTAAGTACAAATGCATGTGTCCAGCATGTGCATACCAAATCTTTTTTATAAACATAGGAATAATTCGTGTCACCTTCCTGAACTGCACAATAATAGTGCAATGATAATTACATATTTAGCTTCAAGTTGCTCAAATATGGCCGCTCCACCTAGAAATACATTATTATCTTATGGAGATAATGCAGCCTCAATATCTTCTAAGGACAAGCATACTGTTGGAAGAACGATAAACCCTATAAGAATTACAATCTAAAACTTCTTAAGTTCTAAAAATCTTGAAGCACTTGATATGAAGTTGCAAACTTACCGGACGACATGTCGTCTACGACATAGTCCGCAGATTCCATGCCACTTCTATTCTGATCGGGAAAAATATCCCATGAAGCATTGAATCTGCTTTGTATTTCCTTCGAAATCCATCGCTGTGCTTGCCTACTCGTCGAATGAGGCACTTCACCACGGTCAGTAAGTGTACTTGAAAAACTTGGCCGCCCTGAACCACTGTCAAGAGTTGTCTCCGATGAGTCCAGCGAAGTTTTCTACAAAATTTGAATTTCATTCCTTTGCTGGAATCACCAGAATTACTACGAAAATATTAAAAAATTATCAACTCTTCCAGCATTTGATTTTACAAGCCGCTAACCACAGAATCATTTTCAAGTTCCCGAAACAAGAAATCGCCCTCAACTCCATCCATCGCTAACTGTCTGACATACTCTAATCGTGTCAAATCAAGACCGTGTTTTTTAGCGAACTTCTGTGATTCATTGTTTAGTCTGTCGATATCCTGGAAACATACTTCACCTATACCAATTAAATTAAAATTGGAGGGATTAAAAACTTTTATTATTCTTATCATCTTCAGCATATTATTTTAGTGATAGCATTCCCCACAACCCTAAATTTTGCAGTAAGAATTACTGTTTACTGATGTAATGACCAAAGAAAAGGATGGTGACTTACTTGTCCTATTTTTACACTGTCACTTATAGGTGGCTTCACACGACGACTTCTAGACCATTCTTCTTTTTCAGTTCTTTCTGCTTCCGATGACTCTAGTGCTGTAGACTTCGTATCCATTCCTTACATTTCAATTTAGGCTTTAAATCATTTTTAAGATTTTACTTTAAACTTTAATTTATTGTGGCATTTGCTCATATGTGGGAAATTTCTCACTGTCTTCTCAGAAACGAAAGCATGTTTAACTTCTTCAGAACTTAAGTACCTTCTTCAGAATTTAAGTAAGAATTGTCACGCAAAGGTCGAACATCAATACGCAACCTCATATTTGCAGTAACACAAAGTCCCAACCGAGTGTTATTTATGCCTTCTGCAGATCCATTTGATGTTGCTAAAATTTTGATCTCTACAAATAATGGTAGGAACAATAAAATGTTGTGAAATATCATAATTAAAAAGTGAATTTTTTTTGCATAATACATTTTTAGGTTGAGATTCAATAAATTCTGTGAAACTGCAAAGAAACTAACTAATCAAATAATATGATCGGCCCGGCTGGTATTCGAAGCCATTTGGTAAAGGAGAAAATTGGTGAAATACAATTACATGGCTGGTAGATGTCGTTGCTAGAGGTGAATCGCAGATAAGAAATGCCTGCGAACGACTGTCCAATTCACAGCTCATAAATGACAAGTCAGATACCTAGCAAATAGTGTTATGTTCATGGAAAAGTTTAATATATTGAATACTAACTTAGGGTTTCTTCACAGTTAAATAATAGGAAAAGTTGAATGCACGAAAATAGCTTGTTAGACTATTACCTGATGAACAATGAGCTGCTCATAGTTATTGGTATTATTATGCATGTTATATGTTGGACAAACTACTTCCATTGAATCCATTGCATCTACTTCAATATATGCTGCTCCAGCACCAATTTCCTCATCTTGTGGGAACAATGAACGATCAGTGAATCTGCAAAATCAAATAAACAAGTTTTTTATCATTATTTATTCATTTATGTTTTGATAGGCAACAAAAAAATGTCGAATGAAAACAAGTAAGTATATTTAAGAATTTTTCTTCAGGGTGCAATTAATTTGAAAAAAAATCTATCCTCTATGCATTTTTTTATCAAAACGGAAAGAGGCAAATTCCTGGAAATTTTGTGCCTCTGGCTTTAATAATGTTCTAATAAGCAATAACAGATAATTGTTAGTCCTACAAAAGACTTTAATTATTTCTATATATGGTTAATATCACCAAATTATTGATCATGGCTTAATAAAAAGTGACATGAATTTTAAAACCACTAAGCACCATTTCACATTTTATTATACTTTGGGATATTATTTAGAAAACTAATATTTTTTGATATCACAATAAAAAGACGGTTAGACTAATAAAAAAAGCGATTAGACTAAAAAAAAGTAAGTACAACTGTATATGATCTGTATTTAACTTGCTGAAAATTTTGAATAGAAGAAAATTAGGATTATTCCCAATACTTAATTTTGCCCTTTTACTTGAATGAATAGATAATAAATTCAATCTTCTCCTGAACAAGGAATTAGTACTTCTTAGTTTTGTCGGATATTCGGGGATTAAATTCAATTCTGAAATGTCACCAGAAATCCCGAAAATCATAGACAAACAGACCTCAATTAATGGTAACTTGGCAATGTTGTTTCTAACTTGTAGCTTTTTTCTTTTTTACTTTGTAAAATATTTGAAATTTATGAAATTCCCTAGAAAATCGTTTCACTGATGCTTTAGTTCCTTTCGAACAACATACCATTAATGCGAGGACATCAACATTATCTTGAGCACTCGTTTGCTTCAACCGTATTGAAATGAGCCACACGATAGAAAGAATTTAAAGAGAATTCAGTTCGTGGTCCTCAAAATGAGATTTTATAATAGAATTTAATATATTATTCAACTATCCCAGCTTTTTGTCTGACTGGAGACCAACTTCAGCTCGAATGTACGACTGAAGAACGATTACACAGGATTCAGTTGATGAAATCAATCGTCGAACCCCCACTCAACGTACAGCTTAGCTGATTAAACAACGACTATTAATCAATTGGTTTTTCGCTGAAATTTAGTCTATCCTTTCGTACTTTGAATGAAATTCAGATATTTAAACTTTCCTATTTTAATTCCCTATTTTCTTGATTACATCCCTTCACTGGCATAAAGAAAAACAGCATATTTCAAACAAGACTTTAGGAATTTATTGAAATTTCAATGGCTTCGAAGAGAGCTCGCGATGCACTAATAAATGTGCATTTTGCGTACTAGCAGTAGATCAACGATTGAATACTTCTAACAACTGAAAACAGTGAAGAAAAGAAAACATCTGAGTAAGAAAGACTGTAAAATTAGTGTAACGGAAAAGACTGAAACAACGCAATATGTGCTATTCCCTACATAACGTTATTTCAATAAAGTAATAAAAGCATGTTGGAGTGTAAACATCATCTGCTTTATATCCTCATCTATTCTTCATGGTCCGGTTACTACTAATTATTCACTTGTATCAGTCTTCTTACATACGTGGTTACAAAAGCTCTCAGATGTCATTTCGCTTTGTTTACTTCAGTGTATCAACTAATCTTTACTTATTAGATTATAGTGAATGGATATGAGTAAGTGTCATCTATGGTATATGAAAAAAAGAAAAAAACCTAATCATCACATATACTGACAAATGCTTATTTTAAAATCTCTCAAGAAACAAACACAGTAAGAGGGAAAAAAGACTGAAGTGAAAAAGAGTCCAGGATATCAACCATTTCAGAAATAAATCTGAACTTACTCTTCTATGTTGCTAAATTGTTATTGTGGCACAACAGGTCCCTTATGCACTCAAGCAATCAATCAGCCAGCAGCAAAATGTCGAGATAACAATGTATGATAATGAATGAATACAGCATGCAGTTTGTTCGAACGTATCAAAACGCACCTTTTGAGAAGGTTCTGTGTTTGCAACTTATTGCCCTGACATTATTCATTACTATCATGTGACAGTAATTAGAAGCGTTATTAGCAACCATCAATGTCATTATCACGTCATTATCATTGTGATGGATGTGACTGAGAAACTTATTTGTTTACTACAGTATTTCAAAAACATCATAATTTAAAAAACGATGTATCGATTGTTCTCTTGAAAAATAAGTAAATTATAAATTTATCGGTTTCGCATCTAATATTTTGATCCTATCTCTTACAATCTACTTTCAGTTAATTTTTTTTAACTAATTATTCCTTTCATTCGTTTTTTCCTATTTACGTTTCAGTAATTTCGAAAATTCTAATCAGTCATTTTGCTGTAGTTAAAAAATCAATTTTTCCATTTTTTTTGCAGTTATTAGTACTATTGAAAATTTTATTTTGTGAGGATAAATTAACCATTTTTAAATGATCCCTTATTCGTACGCTGAATTAATTTATTGGTGAGGGAAGCTGAAGATATTGATTAAGGAAGTGAGGTAATAGGAGCAAGAGGACATCACTGTTTCTGTTTTAGATTACATGGTGAAAACAACGAGACAGAAGAAATGACCAAGAGAAAGAAGCAACACCAAGTCATATTACAGATAATTTAGCTAATTTAATGAATATGTTCTCAGTCCCTTAGAGGTAATGAATAAACCATTCCACCAGTCATAAACACACTCTTCGTCATCCCAATTCTTATCGGTATTCAACCAGATTATCTACCAGTTAGTCGTTTTCTAGAAATATTAAAAAAAAGTCGTTTTCTAGAAATATAAAAAAAAAAACCGACATATTATTCAAATCTAGAAATGGTCCTCCAACAAGAATAGTCGTCTAATCACACTTATTAAATTTTCTGCTTACTCAAAATATGAGACTGAATTCCAATTTGTTTATTCTTCAACTCTCATCACTTTTCTATCCGTTCTCAGGGTCTGTATTTTGATAAGAACATCAGCTCGAAAGTTATAATTTAAGGATTCGATGTACTGAATTGTCTTCATTTCCTCCTGATGCTTTCATATCGCTTGACTTGACTGATTCTTTTATAGCCATTACTATTTATTACTGTTTGAATAATTTGCTTGATTCACTTTGTGTTAATAAGCTTTGCATTCACACTCTGTTCCTTATCATTTCACAAAAGTTATTTTTACTTGCCCACTCTTTCAGAATTATTTATGGTAACAAATTTCAAAAAAAGCTTGAAGATTACTCGAATTTTACACAAAAATATATTATGAAACACAGATATATGTCGTATGGAAGACGAGATAAATTAGAATTATAATGCAATCAAGAATCGAGACGTTCATTTTATTTGAGAGGACCATTTCGTTCATTTTTTATGGTTACCAACCAGAAACATAGTACTATTTATTTTAGTTAATTGTTTCATTTATGATATTTCAGCTTATATATATACCCACATTTTATGATTTCTGGTTGCTGTTTGCAAGCAAATCGAAAGCCAAAAATTTGAAATTAAGTAAAAAAGTAATTGCTCAGGGAGTAATTTATAACATTGCATTCAAAATTAAATTCAAAAGTAGAATAATTCATCTTTAAATGAAGGGAAATGTCTCAGGTTATCTGATGTACATTCAGTTACAATAATTAATAAGTATTTATTTACTTTAAGAACAAAAGTCCAACTAAATTTAACGTCAGATCATATGTGGAATTTTAATTCCACTAATGCATATTCTATATAAGTAATTCGTCCAACTCACCACTGTTCATTTTTCTCTTATCGCCTTCCTATTGAAAGAGTGACAGAAATCTAGCATCTTTCAGTTCAACAATAATTAATTGCTTGTGGTCAGATTTACGTGCATTGCATTACCAACTAATTATTAGGAAGAATGAGTACAACCTCGTTCTCACAACATGTTTATAGCAAACACTGCAAACTGAAGAAGGAGAAGTTTGAACTATAGGTGTGATCTCTACTACCATTTCGAAGATTTCGTGGCCATACTCTGAATACCCAAATGTTCCCAATACCCACAAGCTCAATGAAATTCTGGGACAAGTAGTAAATGAGACCGAATTTCATTTTGATGACTGTTTTGTTTTCCTCGTAGACATTTCAAGACCTCATCCGTAAACTTGAAGTGTTGAGAGTTATCTGGAATTTCTTTCAGCAGTACTTTTTTCTCTGTGGAGTAAAATTAAACGAAGTCGTGATATAAAAACAACACAATTTCTCACGCTATGTGGTTTCTATATTGGTTGTTGAGAACATGCTTGATGTTAATGTGAATATTACACCCTTGGAGACTCTATGAAGTATTCATAATGATGTCAGCAAGTCCTCAATACAATCTACAGCTTAGCATCTAGATAACTCTCCAACCTCATTGATATACCTTTTTGCTTTTCATCATTTCATTAATAATCATTCAGAAACTATAAACATCGCCCAACTTATATGCATGCAGAAGCTAAATTGAACTTAAAAGATGAGAAGAGAGCGCATCTAGATTAGAAATTTGTCAACTTCAGAACTAAAGTGATTTCTGCAATTAACAAATCATTCAATTTCACTATCAAGCCATTCGCTCAAAGGTAAAACGCCAATCTTTAAAAACATTTTATGACATTAAATTCTTCTCATTTTTGGAACACCTTAACTTAGATCCAGAAAAATGATAACAGAACTGCTATTTTTTGAAACATAACACTGGAATCTTATCAGCAGTGTTTGAAATTACAGATGTTTTTACTAAAATAACCACTATGGCTATAACTAAGATCTAGCGATTGCCGCAATATTACTGGAAATCATTTAGTATATGACAACAATCTGTAATAATTCGCTTGATGATGCTATTATTTTCACGAAAAATGTCAATGGCAGCAGCTGGAGAATTGAAAGAGCTCGGAAAGG